TAAAAAAAAGGAGAGACTCTGGTGACCTTTAATTCATCTGGAATGACACCTTCAAGGGGACAGAGATTAAAGCAGTTAGAGGTTCAACAGATTACTAATAATATGTTTAACGAAACTGTTAGACATACGATAAAAATCATTACTGCTAGAGGAGTTTAGTTGTGTCAAAAAGAGATGTGTCAAAATCATTCTTTCTTAACTAATTCCGTTTGTGTGAGTGATTTCAGCTGGGGAGACAATGCAAGCAGGGGACCACGGCATGGAGAAGGTCGAGGAGAATATCTCCAACGCTGAGCCTGAGCGGACTGCCGAAGCTATGGAAGTAGAAGAAGAAGACCAGGAGTAGTTCAGTAACCTGACCTCAACCGACTCACAGTTTCCTTGCTGTGTTATAACAAATAAATTGACTTAATTTTTGTTTATTAATTTTTTTTTTTTTATCTTAATGGGGTGTTGGCAAGTTGTAGAAGTGATCATAAGATCGAATACACAACTATCTTCATTCCGATTTGTTGAAACGTCTGTTCAAAAAGAACACGTTGAGTGTTATGGAATGTTAACATTTTTGCTAAATTGGAAAATTGGTTGTATCACAAGGTACAGAGGAAACACGCTTATAAGAGGACTGTTTGCTTTCAGCTGTAGTATTTTGTGCAAAAAAAAAAAACTTGTGACAGGCAAGGAAGAGCTCAAGCAGTGATCATTGGGCATGGGGTCTTCCTCTACCGTGAGCGTTGTAGTACATGATGGCGAGGGCTTTTGGAGTTTACCCTAGACACCAACGACACCACTTAGTCCCAGACACCACTTAGGTGTAACATTGAATGTTTCCTCTATACCTTACATCTCTGTGGTTGTATTTAAAATTGGCAATATTGGTAAAATATAATACCATGAATATTTTTCCAAGGCATAACTTTGAATGTAAATATTACTTGACTTTGAGTTTAGAACCATAATGACAGTATTTTTAGTTATAAAAGAGGTTGAGTTAAACAGGGCAATCAAACACATTTTTGAAAAGGTTTACGAATGTACTAAGGTGCTTCATCTGACTGGATGGATTGTTGTACACTCCAGGGTTTTGAGATCATCACTTAGTTAAAAGTCATCGTGATCTCACGGTACATCCAGGGTGCACACAGATTTTCGTCACGTGGTTAATCTGAGTCAGATATTTTGTTGGTGGCCACAATGGAAGCAGGAAATACGCCTCCGGTACTACTCGGTTAGCAAAGAAGCAAGTCAGTCGTAGTTATGGAATTGACAGATGAGGAATTAACATGTAAAATTATTGAGCGTCTGAAACTGTTGTGAAGCCAGTGAAAAATGGGGTTCATATTATATATCTCTTTTCCCATAGCTATAGAAATGATAGAGCACTGTTCTTTCTATATTGTTAAACGGAGCCCGAAACTCACTATTAAAATTGAATATTGTATTATACGAAACTGGTGTAACCTACATAAACAAAGAATTTTTCCTGAAAAGCGTTTAGTGTTAACCCTAAAAGTAAGGATACAAAATGTAATATTCTACTATAAAAACAAAATTTATGTAATTAAATAGCATGCATACGAATATTATTTGAATCGGAATCTGAAACCAGAACGAAGAATGAAGAAGCAGGTGCCTGCACACGGGCTCGGCAACCGGCAGCCACTATAGCCACTTTCATTTGAATGCAAGTGCCATTCCTGCCGCCGAGAATCGGAATCAGAATCTGAATCGGCGTGCACTCTGGAAGTACCGTTAGGGACCGATTCCTCATACTCCCTCCACCTTCAATATTCCTCAGCAAATATTTGGCTTATTATGTGTGACATTTCCTTTGCCCAATAAGTGGTTTAAAATAAGGAAATTTGAGAATAGGTTGCCAAAAAGTTTTATGGAAATACACATAAAATGTGTTACATGTTTTTATGTAACACTGTTTGTGAGCCAACTATGCCAAAATGTTAGATACCATACAGAGTACAGATAACCCCTCATTATATGATTCATTCTAGGATTGCATGAACATAAGAATGTATCGAGTCCAAAAGTCAAACCAGTGTTGAGATATTAATTGACCTAACAATTTTCATATAGCCTACTTAAAGTAAGTGAATCATGACAACAATACAAAATCCAACTAGAATATGTCTTTATGGTTTTAAAAATGTTTACTCACGTTTACTGTGCTAAGCTGGAGGCACAGGCATCTTCTGGTAATATATTACTGAGATTATTATATTTTGTTTATAACATCATCTGACTGCTTAAAAGGCAATGAAAAGGGTGAATGAAATAACTAACTAACTATACCACTGATCGCGTCTTCTTATTAACAGCAAGCATCAGATATAAAATAATAGTATCTTGGTAATAGATTACTGAGAATAGCATATAATTTTTGCAATGTTGTCTGAACTGTTAGAAAAAGTAGTGAAATAACGCCGATAACGTAAGTAAGTGAAACACCCTTAAGGAGGAAGTAATAGGTGACAAAATTAATTGTATTATTTCACCTATTACCAAAAAGGTAAGTAACGTTCCTGACTATTTATTGCTGTCTCTTTTGCCATAAGGATAAAAGTAATTTGGCTTTTATATACATATTATGTCTTAGACGATTCAACCTAAAATTTAAACTACCTACAGATATCTGATAATGATTTTAAAACAAAAATAAACACATTTCTGTATAACATAAGCTATTTGTCAACCAGTTTTACTGACATTACTAAGCTAGACCTAAATGTTCAATATTTCCTTTGTTCTATGAATAGGAAACACAATATATTCAATTTTGTCCTGTTAGACACACACACTTAGACATTACAGCTAGATTTTAAAGTGTATGTCTAATATTTGTTGTTTTAATTATTTTATAATTTAATTAAATGCAGCCAAATCTCAATCTGTGATATTAGTTATAGATACTGTGATATTAATTATAGCTACTGTAATATTATTCTGTGTTATTAGCTTAAGAAGTCTGGAAAACTGAATAAAGATACAGTTTTCTCTTGAGTAGAGATCCTGCAGAACTCGAAATTATAAAATTATAAGCATGCCATTTTGTCTCTTGTCCAACTACAATGCAAGCCAAAAATGAGGGTGTATTTGTTTTTCAACAAAATCAATCACAATATTGTATTGTTTAGAGATGGAATAAATGACTATTCATTCAAGATAGTCAATCATAAGCACACCATGCCTAACAAGAAGAATCACAGTTACCATAATCTCACTGTTTGTCAAGGTTTTCAAGCCTAACTCAGGTGTATTGAGAGATGTGTGAGCTCCCACTTTATTGATTGCAATTTCATCTCACAATTAATTGATATGCTTCACCCAAGTTTTTTTTACCATTAATGAGATCCAATTGAATAAATAATCACCATCTTGATGGTAGGCTTCCAAAAGTAAATGGGATTGTTAATTTCTCACTTTCTAAGTCTGAACTGTTATCATAAATTGCAAATGATTTCCACTGTGTATTTCAGCATAAGATTTAAACTTATAAATTATGATGGTTAATTGATTAGCAGGATAAACTTTTATTTTATCACATTGAACAATATAAAACCAGGGGTTTTTGCATGAATGCTATATTTTCTGGTCAGCAGTGTTTCTATGTTGATGTTAGTTCAAAATTAATTTCATTACATAGGCCAATGTTTTAAACTAACTACCTAATTAGATTTAAGATATTTTTTTAAGACCATAGATTAAAGGAGAAGGAGTAGACAATCTAAAATAATAAATAGACAATCTCTCTACTCCTTTAATCAATGGCGGGACTCACAAAAATGTGCTCTGTAAAGATTTTCTTATTTTGAGTATTCTTACTTAAAATAGGTATGAATTGATGATAATGAGCATTGATTAGTCTAAAATAACTTTAAGTTATCTAGATACTTATTTTTTTATAGGTCAATTTCGATAGTTAGTATATTTTTGACCTAAGCAGATTTTTTTACCTTAGCGTAATATGGTGAAAAATACCAAATTATTTTGTAAAAAAACTGTTTTTTATCAAGTTAAGTAAAACTTTTACTAAAATTGTGGTGGTTTTTATCCAAGCCTACCTGTTTCTCTTACACTTAGCGAGTAATATTATCGTGATATTTTCCTTCATGGAATCCATATATGACATTCTAATAAACTAATGTTTTAAAGAACAATACAAATTTTTATTTTGAAAACACACACTCCTCAAGATTGTTAAGAAGATGAACAGTTAACTTACTGATGTTACGTGGTTCTGTATGTTACCTTCTAATGTTATATAGTGTTTCTTGGTTACAAGATCTTAGATTTGTAAAATAGTAAATGGCTGCTGTTGTAAAACACCAGTTTAGGAAAATGTCCCTATAAGTTAAACACTTTGCCGCCAAATCCAACCAGGTAATTTTCCAGTTTTTCATACAAATCACAAATAAACAGATGTCAAACAAAGCAAGTTATAGTAAGACTCATGACATGGAAAAAAGATGTTTTGAATCAATAGAAATTTACTAAAGTTTCTTTGCAATTACTAGAATTGATTACATTAGTCTTGATGACATTTTGATAATGCATATGCTCAATTCATAATAAGTAAAGCTAAAATTATTACGTATACATTGTGGAACCTTATAAAATATTAAGGTGGATGGCTACCAAATTTAATTTATCAAGTGACTTGAACTATCAAGGTTCGAATTATTAAGGGTTTTCAAGGAAAATCGCATCTTTCAGAGGCAAAGTTTTAGGGTATAATCGTTCTTCATGTCAATACATAGGTACAATTATGGATAAAAAACATACAAATTTAAGATGACATTATTTTATCCACCAGTTCCAGTTTAATATTGTTATTTGTGTTCTTCCCCCATGAAGGGGCCAGCTTCAGACTCTCCTGAAGGTCCTCCCAACTTAATGTTTTATGAATATGTTTGCCCATAGTATATTCACATGCTAATGCTAATGCAGATAGTGTGCAGGATTGTAGGTTAAGAAAATCAACAGACTTCATTATTCTCATTTCTATTTCTGGTTTTTCACCAAACATAACAAAGAAATCATAAAAATATCTAGGTCATACATTTATATTTCATTAATATCAAAAACCAAAACAAAATATCTTCAAGTTACTTGGGCTCAAAAGCAATTCCCATGTTAAATCAAACATTAAATGTTGAAATTTGTACAACAAAATTACGCAAAACATATTTTAAATCTTTAGCGGTTTTTACAATAGGAAACAACAAACCTTCTTACACTGATCATGACATAAAAAATGTATTATGTATAGAATTAAGTGGAATAAATCACTTTTTTATAGCCATTTGGAAATAAATCATTTAAAATTTAGAGGCAAAAATTATAGTATGTAAGACTATATAAATTGAATAAACCAGTCAATTTTACATTGTTACACATTTCTTAGTCTAAAATTATGTTACCAAGAACCTTAAACTTTTTATTTCAAGATCACTTTCGATGCTCAAATATATTGTATTTACCACAGTAAAAACACCATAGACCCTAACAGTGGAATATTCATTGCTTGTGTAGATATATAAAAATGAAAAATACAGACGAGAAATTCTATACATCTTAATTATACCACAATAACTTCTAAACCATTATAAATTTTAATTTTTTTTTCATTTTACATTAGTGCTTGTGATGAATATTGTTAAAGCTATACTTCGTTCACAAGCTTACCATATTTATAAATCAACTGAACATAACAAATGTAAAATAATTACATAAAAAACACATAAACTGTACTTAGGTTCAAAAAAACAAAATATACAAATACACAAACTAATTAATTATGTATAATAGTGTAGAAAATTAAATATAATTCCATAAACATGGAACTAGCAAAAATCTTTCTTATAGTTTTCTATATAAAAAACTATAGAATTTACGTTGAAAAGAATTTATCAATCTAGGCGCTCTAGCCAAGGTGGTACATGTGTACAAACATGAATTACATCCCTGTGAATAACTAACAAAAAAATTTTAAAACGCCAATTCATGAAACATTTGTCATGGTTCCTCATCTGCAGCAATCACGGAAGCGTGATTGTCATCTTGCACAATCGTGGCAATAGCGGTAATTTTTTCGATCACGCAACCTTCGCAGATGAGTTGAGCATCGGTATCGGAATCAACTTTTGACGATCGATTCTCGATACCGATACCAATGTCCAAGTATCTGTGGCATCGAGTAACGACCTGTCCCTAGTTAAAATATATACTGTAATCTTATCTACTTCTCATCACAATAAAATTACAGTGTTTTAATGAACCATTATAATCCGGGAGATAAATAACAACAGTGCTAATTTTAAGATTGGTAAAATAAACATACCCATACAGACTTCCAATACGTATAGAAACTTATGCAAGCCAAACCAGAAGTTATTCCTGATATTTCATTACATAGAAAAACAAAAATCTTAGACTTTGATGAGATCAATTACGGCTAAAGTAATTCTACCAATGCTACTGCCTAAAATGATAACACACTACTGAGCAACATACAATAACATGGTGAATATTTTGTTACTAAATAATAAAATGCCAAAATAGTCCACAATCAATAAATAAAAATTGACAACAATAGAAATAGAATTAAAAAGGGATTGTAAGGAAAATGTAAGACAAGTATTCTTCAAATACACAATCTGTAGTACTGTGTATTGTGCTTTGCACAAACTCTCAAAACATTTTTGAACAGACGATTTAATCAACTACAACAAAACTCTTAGTTAAAGTGTTGCATTTATAGTATTACAAGATCATAGTAAAAAAGATATGTACGTTATTCCAGTATGAATACTTGAAAAGCACAATGGCACAACATTGGCACATTACACATAGAAAATGCCTACAATAAATGTTAAAAATTTTGGTAAAGGGAATATTAAAATATGTTGGTCTATATTCATAAGATTTAGCATAAAATATCAGGATTTGTTGGTTGCACTTGGATATTTATCCTTGGTTTTTAATGTGTCAAGCGTTATATTCTAGTATAAATTTGTAAATTTATAAATTTACAAAAATTATAAATTTTGTAAATTTATTTGTAAATTTATTATGCCTTGTATGTTTATTGCTAAAATATGGTATATTTCTGAAACAACTCACAAATTCATTTTGAAAAAGGTGTAAAACTGTTTGTACTTACGATGATTGATTACAGATTATATGGTACATATGATCATATGCTGGTACAGAGAGGAGAGAAGTGTTCTCTGGACAGAAAGTAACAAGTCACTTGTTAGCTTGAGCGATAGAAATAAAATGTCAAGAATAAATGCATAACGACTAACGAGTGTATAGTACAAATTTGAAAACTTTATTGAAATATTTAGATTTAGATTTATGTGTAATTTTACATCATGTATGTACATTTAATCTAGTTCTCTCTTATATTAAAATATTAACTATCACACAACATGAAAAATACTCCTGTACTTAAACCTCAGAATTCTAACATTTCTTTAAGTTCAAGCAAATGTACTAAATTTTAAATCAAATATATTCATGAACAGTGAAAGATATATAATTTATCCTCCAGTAGAAAATGGTTTTGAATACTCAGGTTTACATACAGGAGTATAGTAACCAGCAACTTCTCAAAATTAACAGAACACAGCCATATACAGTTATAAAGCAAGTTCATATAATATTAGTAATTAGTACATAAAATAAGAATGCTCACATTTGCTTTCTCAGCTATCACTGAAATACGCATAAATTATCAAAATTGTAGGAATAAAATATAATTTAAGAAATAATTTAGGGAAAATATTATTGTAAACTTTGAATTATATGAAAAATTCAAAACATTAAACAAAGTGAAGTAAGCAAATTTTTATTACAAGTCGGCAAATTCTTGAACTAAAACGATTCTCAATAAAACAACATGGAAGAAAATGACATTGTAGATAACACTTTTATCACATCATAAACCAGATGATTGATTTAAACCAATACACAAGAAATCTCTTATGCATTTGGTTGGACAAGATAGAAAATAGTCCATTGATTGACTCAGTGAAGTAGATAACAACACAAAATATAAATAACAACCAAAATTATTTTATAACAAATTGTAAAAATAAACTTGCAATAACATTTATTAGTATATGGTGTTAATCCTTGACATAACAAAGAACTTTCTGAATATTTTACTAAAAAAGAAGTGAGAAAAACATGTATACAAATATAAATGGAAAAGTATTAATTTTCAGAGGAGAATTTCCGAAATATTTAGCATTAAAACATCAAACAACTGATACATAAAAAAAGAAATAATCTACAACAAAACTTACCTAAGCATTACAGAGACTTACCCTCAAGATTATGTAGTGAAAATACAAAATAGTCATTATGTAAAAAAGAAACAAAAAAACTTCTATCAGAGGTTAAATTATAAAATAACTGATCTGTGTAAAGAAGATAACGTAAAAACAACAAATACAAGCCATTATTAACTGAGATACTAAAAAATTGACCGCAGTTAATACCAATAATCGCAATTGTATAAAGAAAAGATTATATCAAACAAAATACAAATACTAGCTATTATTTAACAGGAGTAACAGGTAGTATTTAAACACTGATGCAAAAAATACATACAAAAGAAGTTAACCAATAATCGTGATCATAAAGAAATGATTGTGTCTTAAAAATAGCTATTATTTAAAAGGGATACCCTTTGAAGAACAACATGGGAACACAAATAATATAAAATATTATGTAAATAATCAGATAATCATGAAATATTTCAAGGAAGGAACATGAAATCCTTGTGTGTATCACATAAAAATACCATGAAGAATGTGGTATCCTTGGGTTGGTGTAGGGGCAAGAACTGCTTACTTAGCCTTCCCATCTCCCCCAGAGCCTACGGGAAACACAAAGTTAGACAGAAACAAGTTTATACAATAACTTAGAGCATTGGGAAGGTGCCAGATTACCAAAAGTAATACTGGAAATAATTAACCTATCTGCTAGGTGCTAAGAAATGTCAACTCTTGATGGTTTATTATGTACAATTCTTTATTTGTAGGTAATGCACAAGCACAGATAGAAAGTGTGGGGCTCACACCCACTACAACCCCTGAAGGCTTAGTGGAATCAACGGATCAAAGAAAACCTGAAGTCATCTAGGCGACCTTCAACTTACTTCAAACAAAGAACTTGTAACGTATAATGAAACTAATTTCTACTCATTGCTCATTCTAACTTCAAAGCATTGCCTTAACCTACAAGGCTGTCAAAATGACCAGGCTGGTACTTTTTCCGTACAAAAAATTAAATTAAATTTTTAGTCGGTAGGCTGCAACAACAACAGCTTTTTGTCTTGCACTAGTCAATTCCACCCTGTGCTTCTCCTCATGTTTTAAGTACTAAGACAGTGTGCGTTTCATCGTGGTTTGTTAATTAATTTTTATTTTTCTTTTAAGAGCTGACTAGCTTCTGTTTATATTCATTGTTTTGTTATCGGCATTAAACTATGTGTTCGACCACAAGTATGTAAAATCTGTCGCTAAACATAGAATTTAACAAGAGAAGGAGGATTGATAGTCGATCGTCGAGTGACTAGAGTCGGGAGGATGTTGAATGTTTAGTGAGGACTGCAGGATATTTTCTAAGCCAACTTTGCAGTGAACCATTTACTGAGCTAGAGGCCAGTCTACATAAGTTCAACTGACAAATAATAAAACAGCATACAGAAAACACTCGTTCTAAGCACTAATCACTGTAAGTAAATACTGTACTGGGAATTACAAATAAAATTAAAAGGGAAATAGATATAAGGTTATCAGAAGGTGAACCCATCGTACTTAACAAACAAATATTGTTTTTATAGATTGTCACACTAGTTTCTGGCAAAAAAATAAAAACATCAGAAACTTCTGTCATAAAAATATTTGACTGTTATATAAGTACAAAAAACCCTGCTAATCCAGCATTCATAATAATCTGACACATTCAATAATTTATCAAGATAAGGGTGTTCGATAGAGTAAATTTCCAAACATTGTAGAGTTAACTACTTCAGAGATAAACATATGAAATAATAAAATATTTAACTTACTTAGCTAGAAAAGTCGTTTCTCGTATGAAAAGAGGCTGTGAACGTTGCCCTCAGATTGCGCTGATTGTGTTCTGCGCTCGAACTTGAGCTCACCACAGTACATCATCGATCTGAAATAGAGGAGGCAAATCTCTTATTGCAAAGTACATAATTCAATCAATTATACAGGGTGTTTAATAACTAATATTAGGCTTATAAGACTTTTTCATGGGCTGTTAATACAAATTTACATAAAAGGAAAACAGAAACTCAAATAGTTTTGTCTGAATGCCTACACATGTTATATGTAAGCACAATTTATAAGAGGACATAAGATTGTTAAGATTTATTCAACATTGATTATTGTTTATGGAATAATTGTATGAAAATGAAATAGATCAAAATAAGCAAACAACAATGCTATATCAGGTGATTGTGGAGGCCATGCTAAGCACGATTTGGGGAACTAGAACTCCTAGTTCCACATCTTTTTCACTAGCCTATATCTTAAACACACTGACATGTTTGTACACTGACATAAAAATTGTGCCAATGATACAAACATATTTCCCCCAGAAAAAACGTTTGCAGTGTAGCATGAAACACATACATAAAAGAATCTTGAAAAGAGTTTGGTAAGGATGGACAGGTCCGAAATAAAGGGAGATTTTCTGGTAAAACTTATTTCTAATCTTCGGATTGGATTACATCTGATTTAGAATTTTCTCAGTACAGGATATAATATAACACCATCTCGAGTGACAATAATGTCTTTGAGATCGTGAGAGATTTTCACATTATTTTGCCACTATGGCTGGTGAAGATAACCCAGGAATAGTGGTATTTTGATAGCAATTTTATCTTGTATTAAGAATAAGACTCACAAAACAGAATAGACACAGCAATAAAGATTATAAATTAATTTAATTTATGATTATTGTCATTTGCAAGAACGTTTACTCAAGATTTAAAAAATAATTGAGTTTTACTGGTTGCACAGGAAGAAAATCCTGCCTGAAACTCGAGATGGAAATGAAAATTTAGGTGAAATCAGAAATTATAAACAATAGTTATTTGTGTAACTAGTGGACGAAGTGGCACTTTGCTGCACACGAGAGAAATGTTTACGCACAAGCTGTAGCCGAGTGTGAAAAGTTTCCCGAGTGCAGCAAAGGTTTTTTGCACTCGAGTTAGAAATTTTTTTTTCCTACAGTTACTTACTATAATCATATAAATAATTAGTCTCTCAAATACTGCACAACACGTTTTTAGGTTAAGTTAAATCCAAACACTGAACGAAATGGGAACGCTGCACCAGCTAATTGTTATCTTTAAGTGTTGCCAATTTACTTTTAAGCGTACACGGATTACGTGCATAATAAAAGCACACTGTTTTGTGTTGTTATGTTGGAATACTGGGGTGTACCAAAGTAAAAACTGTGTGCCAAAGTAAGGTTTTCTGTACTATAATCTGTGCAAGGAAGCCCACTTTGTAGGTTGATTGTAGGAAAAAAGAAAAGTCTATTCAATTTCAATGAGATTCTGTTTATACAAAATAATTTAAGCTAAACAAATACTTATGACATGGTGGTCATTTTCCGCTATATTGATGTTTCTTATTCTTGCTGCATGCAGCGATGATAAAAGCAGCTGCTCAGACAGGTTTTTGGCAACTATTTCAAATTTCTAGGTCCCATGCGAAATGCATCTACGGTTCAAAGAATTTTCCTGGCCATAAAAAAACCCACATACAATTCATGAACTTGTCTGGTTACCTGAGGAGTGAGAGACTGCGAGCTCCGATATCCTGACAACCATGTCTCAGACCACACTGCAGGTACGGTAGGAACCTCAGAACAGAGCCTTTGTCTACGATGGAGCCACTGACTCCCTGCGCCACCTTCAGCTTGTCCATCTCACTGTAACACCACTATATTGTAGCAAACTATACAACATAGCTAGGCTAGAATACTAACCTCCGTCATTGACTTTAGATACTGAAGTATACATCGTTACAGGGTGTCTACAACATTCTGGATAACAAATTCATGGACAATTCCCGTACATTTAAGTACACTTTGTCGCAACCTTTGTCAGTGCGATTACCGAATATATTTTCCTGATTTGTCAAACTGTATTAATCTTGTTCTTCACTGTAGTTGTACCAGAGAGAAAAGTAAGTAATAATAGACAAGAGTTAAATTTAAAAATAGAAATATATTGAAATGAGACAAACATTTACTTTGGGTAAGACTTTATAGTGTAACCACAAATACTAGAAAAATACCGGTATGGATCATCAACATAAACAAATTACGTTTTTTGCCCGTATCCTATACTAATAGCATTAACATATGGTTTAGACAGTTCCATTTAAACAATAAAATAAGATAAATCACAACTTATAATAATTAATAATATTTCATACAACATATTAAAACGGTATAACTGGTAGGTAAGGTGACACCAGTTATCATCGTCTCCCCCGATCGCAACAACACCGGTATGCATATTTTGCGGTTTCGGCGACACCGATAATCGTTTCCCACGATCCCGGCAATATTCGTGAGCATATCTTGCGGTTTCGGCGACACTGTCAATCTTTTCCCATGATCACGGCAACATCAGCGGTAGTGTTTCAGTTAATCGATGTTTCCGATGACCGGGCTCCAAATTCCCGGAGGTTTGGGTTAATTCCTGGAGTTTTCCAGGATATTTCAAGGTAAGACAAAACTCCCGGAGGTTTCCCGGTTTTCCCGAATTTCCTGGAATGTAGACACCATGAAAATGTTCGTAGTTGATGTGAGCAAACAGATTATGCTGATCGAAATTGGAACCAATTTCTGTTAAATACAAGAACTTTTTTACCAAGTCGAACTAATGTAATAACTTGTTGTGAGTTATAGCAACTGTTATGATCCATCTACTTGGTAAGCAACAAAAAATGAGATAGAAAATAAGAGTTGTAGACACTATCACATTCTGTGACCGGCTCACAGAACCATGTTCTTGTTAAATAAAACATTGGCGACAGTTGGTCCATATAGATGGGATGTCTTCTTCAGTATCCAAAGTGAATAGTTATATATTAACACTAGTCATTCTAGGGACCCATCTTTCAATCTATAGGGACTGGAAAGAACAGGTATGACATACAGAATATGACACCTACTAACCCTATATGAAAATAAACAACCGTGCTAAATGTCAGCTCAAAATTACAGTAATTCAAGGATAATAGGGGTACTTATGATAAAGGTTTTGAAATGAGTTTTGATTATATATTTTACAAAAGATATAAATATAAATTGAATCATTTAGTATGGTCAGTGGGCAATCATTCACATTAGAACAATTCCCTCACCACCATTGCTTTTGTTATTTTGTATTTCAATCTCATGAAATTTCATTAGATATAACTTAATATAAATATTCAGCGTAGAGGAAAAGTGGTGGAGGAAGTTTTCTGTTCTCTTGCACTACCTAACCTATACGTCATCCTGATTGACACGATCTTTAACGCAATACAAAGCAGGGATACAATTAATTTTTAGATTTTTTCTGATAAAAACATACCCCCCAAAAAATAAAAATTAGATTAGATAACATTCTATATTTATGCTATATAATTGTTATACAACTAGATTATACAGGGTGTTTTTTTTTAAACTTGCATCTTTATTTATGTAAAAACCGCAAAGGTAGAAATATGCAGTTTGCGGGAATCATCTATTGACGTAGGGGGCCCAATTGTTTTGAATTCAACGTTAAATTCACATTCCCCCCCTTTCCCCCCCTGCCACCAACTTAATTTTTTTTAATAGCAAGGTACCCCTTGTGACATATCAAATGAAAGAGCACGAAAAAAGAAAATGTTTGATGAAAAAAAATTGAAAATCGGTTCATAAATTTGTGAGATATGCCCCCCCTCCCCCCCCCGGAACTTAATTTTTTTTTTAAAGCAAGGTACCCCTTGTGACATATCAAATGAAAAATAAATTTCACCAAACATTTTCTTTTTTCATGCTCTTTCATTTGATATGTCACAAGGGGTACCTTGCTTTAAAAAAAAAATTAAGTTCCGGGGAAGGGGGGGGGGGGAATATCTCGCAAATTTATGAACCAATTTTCAATTTTTTTTCATCAAACATTTTGTTTTTTCATGCTCTTTCATTTGATATGTCACAAGGGGTACCTAGCTATTTAAAAAAATTAAGTTGGGGGCAGGGGGGGGAAAGGGGGGGAATGTGAATGTAACGTTTAATTCAAAACAAGTGGGCCCCCTACGTCAATAGGTGATTCCCGCAAACTGCATATTTCTACCTATTGCGGTTTTTACATAAATAAAGATGCAAGTTTAAAAAAAAACACCCTGTATATTTAAATCAAGAGTTTACTGATTAAATAATCTATACATTTTAACTTTGCAAAGTTAATAACCCTTGAATGTTTTAATAGTGTAGGCACTATGTATTATTATTGTTAAATAATTATTTGATCAAAATAAACCATAATTTATCTGTTCAAAAACTGATAGGCTATTTGGATTTTATATCTCATTGATCAAGATTTTTGATAACATTCAAGTTTTTAAGTACTTTTTTAAGAAAAAAAAAACTACTTAAAGGGTTAAACAAAAATAATTTTAAATATCTACACTCTATATTTTTTTGTTGCTAATTTGGGGGTTTTCAAACATTTTATTTATCTAGTGAGAGGGTTCCAAACTTGAGATGTATTTACAGTCACACACAAACTACTCGGTGTTAAGGTAAATGAAATTGACGAGTTCTGTTGCCAACAAAGTAAGACAATAACGACTTACAAGAATTGTTTATTCTTTAATCCAGTATTTTTCTTTCCACCCCAAGGGCCCAGGAGTCTACAGAACAAGTTGATGTTATAATGTATTCTGCATAAATTTGTTAACAAAATCAACTAGTCCTACATCGACCACTCGGGGAAAATAAGTCTGTGTAATCCACTTTACTATGCAACAAATGAGAATTTCTAAAAGATGGTATTTGTTTATGTTGGCTGACATTTTTTTACAACAAAATATCTTAAAATGTTCACTATTTTACCACAGTATCTTTAATTAAGAGAGGTTATGAATACTACTAGTACTCAAATATGTTTTGGAAAGGTTTCTCAAACGAATAGAATTTGATTTAATCAGTATTGAAAATCTACAACACAAAAGGTAGAACCCCCCATTAAAATATACAGTAAGGATTCCTTTTACGAAGTGCTGCTGCAAAGTTACAAGACTGTTTGTACAATGGGAGCATAAAAATCAACCCAGTATGTGTTAATTTGTTGAAATTTTGGCTTTAAAAATCCAAGCCTGTAAACAAACCTAACTTGTTCTACTAACTCACTGCCTTCATTCTCGATAGTGATAGATTGTTTGAAACATGTTTGTGTTGGGAAAAATGTATTGAATTTTGTTGTGTTAGAAAAATTGTAGAACAAAGTGTTATTTGGTTGTGAATCCTAGAGGGTTCACCCATTTACTTCTAAATGAGTGAACTATACTCATTTACATTAGTATATCAAAACTAATGTCTGAGAAAGATTTTGAGGATATGCGCACCAGAGGTACTGCACTTGACTTGAATTTTACATCATATTGCTCTTACTTTTTCAAGGATAGACTTTATCTTTTTGAGATTTAAGTAGCTATCAACTTTAATTTTATACATTCTAATCATTTGTAAGTTGATATTACAAACTCTCCTCTTAAATTGTTTAACTTTGCAACAAAGACTATTAGTTTAATAATTTAACAAGAATAGACTGTTTAGTCTAAGCATCTTTAAATTTATACTAACAACTATATTTTATTACTTACAGTTTAATGTTACACTAATAACGTTTTCATTTTGAAGAGTTTAGGTACTTCTCGTCGAGTAGTTATATTTGGTACTTACGTATTATACGGAGGCCACTTATTTTACAGCGCGCTGCGGCGGTTGGGTTAAGTTGGGTTATCATAAATATGTTTGTAGAACTTTCCTAGTTTCGTTATGAATCGAACTACACGAGATGAGTCATAAAAACTTATGATAACCCAACCTAACCTAACCGCCGCAGCGCGCTGTAAAATAAGCGGCCTCCGTATAATACGTAAGTACCTTATATTTGATAAAGTTTTTACAGTGTGTAGAAATTGATTTTTGCAAAGGTGGTAATTATGTTTGTTTATCTTCTTTATTAAGTATTGCCAACTCAAAATTAGTATTTTGGGAACAAAGATACACAATTACCTGTGAAAGTATCTGTCCATGGCACCACCCTGGGCATCCTTTCTGTTCATGGCCTCCAGACTGCCCATTCCTCGGTACTTCTTGAGCCTGACTCCGTCTGAGAAGTAGTACTCCCCTGGGGCTTCAGATGTTCCAGCCAGCAGTGAACCCATCATCACTGGAATGGTCAAATACAATGTCTACACTCCACCAGCATAGTTACGTTTAATTATTGACAAATCAACATTGCTTGACGAAAAACACTTTTGGAACATGGGCAGACATTTGAATCAGGCAGAGCTCAAATGCTCAGTTTAGTCAATTTATAAAATACCTTAAGTCTGACAGGCTCTAAGCACAACTCAGGATGCATAAATAGCACAATGTGGTTGATATGCCTAGGCAAACAGCAATAAATCAACCACTTCTCCAGCCTCTACAACTCTTTGATAGGCATTGACTGTCTTGAATCAGCTTTAAACAAAAGCAATTTTAGCTCAAGTAGCACAATATACTTCTACTCATGTCACGACACAATATAGGTTAACTATTATCGGAGGTAAAAATTCTGAATCCCTAAAATGAAGATTTGTCTAAAGAGATAGAATTCAGGTAGTTTAACTGAGTAGCTTATAGGTACATAAAAGTAACTCGAAACAGCAACATTCTCATTGGTATTACGTATGCAGCGGTCAGTTATAGAAAAAAAATAATTAACTGATAATCAACAAACTCTTTTATCATGTTTTGTTAGGTAGAAACAAGTTAATTTAAAAAATAGGGATAGACAAGTTTCAAAATTTTGAGAAATTTTCGGGAATTTTTATATCTTGTTCTATGAGACGAGATTTTATTTTGATTGAGATTTTTTTGAGACAAGATAAAAAAACTTTAAAAACGCCTGCAGAAAGTCAATGCAATACCCGCAATACAGGAGCGCATTGTAGTTGCGTTTTCTTAGGGAAGGCATTCTTATTTAATTAATTCTTTGCATGTAAATATTACTTAAATTGTTTTATAATTTTTGGTTTTGACATGGCAAATGACAAGATGTTTTGTTAAGTGTAAGCAGTGTGAGACATGTTTAACATAGCCAAAACAAGTCACTCCAAAATCATTCTAAAAATAACACAAGAAAATTGTTACTTGATATTTAACTAGTAAGGCTGATGTTTCACAATGATAAATTTTGTATTTTCCAAATTTGAACTATATCCTAACTGATATCACTATGTTTCCTATGCAGAAGAGTTATTTTTAATAAGGTAGCCCTAATTAATATTTGTTCTTTTTATACTGACATTTTTGTATTAATGTTTTTAATAAAAGATATTAAACACTCTCGTCTATTATTATTATTTTTGTATGTCTAGTCATTATCATAAATCCAGTAGGTATTTTAAAATTTTACAAAATCAGGTTAAAATGGCTAATGTGCATTTCCCATTATGTATGAGAAGGGAAATCCCGTCTCGATCTCGTTTTGAAATTTTATGAGAAATAAAAAATCCCGTCTCGGCTCGAACTAAAAATCCAATCTCGTCCATCCCTATTACAAAGAAACTTAATCATACGACTATGACCTTTAAATTAAGTTTTGTCTTGTCACTATTATAATTTATATAAAACTGTAAGGAAGTGCTGATATTTATTGCAATTTCAACTGGGAAAAGAAAAAAAAATTCTTACATAGATCAGAATCATGAAAAATTAATAAAAAGAAACAAATAGAATTTGAAAAATATGCTGCAAAAAGTCTAAAGAGTAGAAGACACAATGATAAAATGAAACTTTACAACAGCATATAAGTAATGGGGGAAATAAAGTGTCGAAGAATCAGATGGTACATGTAATAAAAAGAGACGAGAATTGTCGATTGAAAAAAGTATCAAAGGGGAACCCTGATGAAAGGCCCCCAGGAAGATTTAAGTGGAAATGTTGGGAGCAAGTGAAGGCGGATATGGCTGATTACAAGAGCTTTCGCCATCATGGAGGATGATTATTATTTTCCGTGATTGCACTAGACAGGGATTATGTCTACAAGACCAAGGAAGATCTGCAAGATTTTGTCACAACTGCGAAAAAGATGACGTTGTTTCTGTGACTGCGGAAGACGATGATGATGTGGCTTCATTACTATGGGATATATATCAAATTTTGCTGTGATTACAGAAGACGATGATGTTTCCGTCATTAAAAAGAGACAACAATGATTTCTGCAAATCTGCGGAGGGTGTGCAAGCTTTTGCCAAGATCATTATCTTGGCAAAAGCTTGCACACCCTCCGCGGTTTTTCACAAAAAACAATGACAATGTTTTTGCGACTAAGGGAGACGATAAAAAAAACGACCGCGAGAGTTTTGGAATAATGTAAAACATAAAATACCTGTAGATGCTCCTAGAGATAGAGCCTTGATAATGTGGCCGATGTTCTGTATTCCTCCGTCAGCAATGACTGGGACGCCAAACCTCCTAGCATACTCTGACACCTTATACACTGCTGTACCCTGGGGCCTACCCACAGCCATCACTTCTTGTGTGATACAGATGCTGCCTACAAATACAAGCATCCATCAGTAAAAGGTTACGACAAGTCAAGATTTTAACTGATTTGTTGGCATGGTTTCAACATCATTTCCCGTTTCCAACTAACTTCTCAGATCTAAACACCTTTAAGGTTATTTTAAATTCTGATCAAATAGCATTACCCACACTGTTGAACATGTACAAATTCCAGACATCTGAGTATAGGGTTGTTGCTAAATTAATGACAAGGGCTTCATGCATTAGGTCATGCATGCCCAAGTGTCGTTTATAGAATATAATATGCCTAATGACATGTGAAAACCGCAGATTGAGATTTAAAATTCACAAATAAACATTGTTTTTACCTGGTTAAAACTAATAAAACTGCCATCATGATTCTCAAATACATGGTCCCTACCAATAAATTATACAACCAATTTAAAACATGTTGCTTCATACTACTAATTATGGTTTACCTGAGCCCATTCCTACTCTTAATCCGTCAGCGCCCGCATCTATCAGGTTCTTGGCTTGAGCAGCAGTCACCACTAAAACATAACTGTGCTTAGTCTACAGAATGAAATGCTCATGTAAATCTAATTCAACATAAATATCTAGTATAAGATTGAGAAAACAAATTCCAACTTAAGTAGTTTATGTATGAATTCATTGACTATATCATTGAGGAAAAACAATGGCAATAAGGTTTGATATGTATTGTCAGGAGACTTAATATGTTGCATCATAAATGGAAGCCGAGTGGTTGACTAAGGAATTATGATGAAAACTAATACAGTTCAGCTACCTAAGAAAATTAGAGTTTAGTGGCTATTAGATACACAGTAAAAGGTCACACACAAAACATAACACTGATATTTCATCCTAATTCCTAATATAGGTAAGAGTTCTTTGACAGTAGACTGAAGAGTTTATCTATGAAGAAGTCCTATATTCAAATGAAATATTAGTGTAATGTTTTTGACTTTACTGTTTTGTAACTTAAAGACTCTCCGTATCTATTTATCTACATCTTCTATTTACATCCCAGTGAAAAATTTCAATCCTTAGTTATGGGGGGGGGGGGAAGTCGTGTTGAAATGTAGAGAGGGTAAAGTGAAAGTACGAGGGTGTTTTTTTAAGGGCTCATTTTGCGTAAAATCCGTAGTTTGCTTGTACGCCGCAACTTATCTCCTCACCACCTACTGGTATCATTTGTGAACAGGATGACAAAAATTGCAGCTCTGTAGCTGTCATACACGCTCCGCTGTGCGTTTCTAAGATTGTTTAAACCATCGAATATCCCACCGCATCCGAGGTAAGAACAGTGATACGTTTTTTGATTATAAGATACATATCCGATGCAGACATCCATCTCCAGATGACTGGAGTTTATGACCATGATGCAATGATAGCGTAAAAGTGCAGAAATAGGCTGAGGAGTTTAAAAATGGCCGTTAAGACGTTTATTTCGGATGAAAATGTGTTTTTGATGAGTACCCAGACTTCTCACAGAAGACTAAAGAGGAGAAAGGATTTTACAGCCATTTTTACACTCCATAACTCATTTCCGCACTTTACCCTCACTCATTGCATTAGGGCCATAGACTTCAGTCATCTGGTAAAGAATGTCAGCATTAGATATTTTTCTTGTGGTAAAATAACGTATCACTGACCTTACCTCGGACATGGCGGGAGTTTCGATGGTTTACATTTTTTTAAACACACAACAAAGCATTTTATATGACAGCTACTGAGCTGCAATCTGTGTCATTCTGTTCAAAAATTATGCCAGTAAGTGGTGAGGAACCTCGTTGCGGCGTACAAGCAAACTACGGATTTATACGCAAAATTGGCCCTTACTTAAAAAACCGCCCTCCTATGTAATGCTAAAAATGTTTGTTAACAAGTTATTGTAATAATGAAATGGTATAATGAAATGGTATAATATTTTTCAACCAAACAAATGTGCCTTTCAATATTAATCCAAGCAAAATATTAATACACTATGAATGTAATTAAAAGAACCAATTGAAGCAGCTTACCATTACCACCGATGACTTGAAGTTCGGGATATTCTTTTTTTATGTACCTTATCATGTCTATTTGATAAACTGAATTTCCTTGAGAAGAATCCTGGAAAATATTAAGAAATTAATAAATTACCTAAATATTACCTAAATTAATACATTTATCGACTGTATATTTGTTAAAAAACACTTGACCTCATTCTCATCAAAAGATCACCAACATCCGTATAACACTCGACATAGAAACACTCTTAAGTTCCCTATCCATAGAACAGTTATTTATGAGAAAGCTCCTTTGTATATGGGTAGCAAGCTATTCAACCACCTCCCTAACCAAATCAAATCGACAGAAAAGATGGATATTTTTAAATAACTACTTAGGGTACATTTGGAACTACTTTGTCCTTATTATGTAGAAGATTTTTTTTGTAACTAACGTCACTACTGTTAATAAAATATACCCAAAAATACCCAATCGTGAAAATACTATCAGAGGTGATGAAAGTGTAAGCCAAGTAGTGGGCTAGGTACATTTTGAGAAATCAGCTGTTGCAAAACTAATTCAAGTGAACAGAATTCCACTTAGAGTAGACAAAATATATTTTTTGGATAAACTTCTACGTTAAACCTTCTTACCAAAACAATAACATCGACTCCAGCGGCGGCTAGAAGTTTTAGTCTTTCTTTTTCCTCATTCCGTGTACTGATGGCTGCACCGACGAGCAACTGTTTGTTTTCGTCTTTACTGGCGTGGGGGTAATCTCTGGACTTCTTCAGATCAGTACGAGCAATCAAGGCTACCAACTCTCCTTTGTCATTAACTATCGGAAGTTTTCCTTTCTTGGACTTCTCCAGAATGCTGTTGGCTTCTTCCAAGGTGACATCGGAAGTGGCGTATACTAACTGGTCCAATTTTGTCATGACCTAGGGATTCAAAATAATTAGATCTACTTTAGCACAGGTTTAAAAAGTTGATTAGAAGTTTAGACCTCAATTTATGTTATTTTGAACAGTTTGATTCTAATAAATAATATTGCTTGACACTGACTATACAAAGCTAAATAACAATTACAGTTGACATTGCATGAAGAAACAGACAGAAACATGAAATTGCTAATATTAAACACTTGTGGGTTTAAAATAAACTTAGGTCAATTTAATTCAAGCTTTAAAATTGACCAAACTAATCTTTAAGTTAGTTCCTGATGTTATTACAGTTATAATTGGGATATACAACTTTTTTTCCTAGGATGCTAGGCACGAGCCTGGGATTGTTTTTCACATTACTTCAGGCTAGACCTAGGGGTTGCGGCATTATCACTTAGATAAAATCCATTGGTGACTTGGCAGGGATCGAACCCGGGAACTCAGGGAACCTCGCTCTAACCACTACTCCAGCTCGCTCCCCCATTCATTGAATTAGACATCCTGCATATTTTACATTAATATTTTCTAATGTAACAAAAATCCATTTAGTAAATATGTATACTTTATCATTTGAAACTATAAAGTTGCCAAAAAATATCTAAATGATCAAAATGATTTCTTATGAATACAATTTTAGGCACAAATTAGAAATATATATTTTAAACAGATTTAGATATCTTTTTTGCGTGCTTTAAATCATTTTAGTATGACTAGGCCTACTGCTTGACTATAAAAATATATAATTGGCTTTAGTTTATATAAACATAGGAACAATATCATGTTTTATTTACTTCTTAACACATTCACTGCTAATGATATGTAATACTTTTATAAATGGCTAAAAAACATAAACATTAACATGATCATGTTAATTGAGTGACAATATATCTTTAATTAAATAAATTTTATACTATAAATTGTGGATTAAAATATATTATGTAATTATATACATCATGTATTATATATCTGCTAATATACTTATGACGCACAAGTGTGTCATTAGCAGTGAACGTGTTAAATGTTGAATCATTCCGAAAATATACCATGTTAAGTGAGGATAAAATACAGAAAAATGACAAATGAAAAAAAGTTACCTATCCATTTAATTTGATGATTATATTAAGAACTAAGAAGGGATTGCATACAAAAGACTGCCTTCATCAAAAATGTATTATTTCTTTTATGCTTTTTTCACTACTAGTCCAGTCAATGAATGATCCAAAAGTAGGTGTAGAGTGCGTGAGCAGGTAACTAAGCGATTCCTTCAGAAACTTGTTCAGGGGGCTTAGGGTGTTAACATACCAAAAGTCCTGACTCCTAGGTGGTGAGCCAGGGGGTGGAGGGGGGAAAAGGGGGGGAAAAAGTTACGCATTTTGGGTTTTTTGATTATATCTCGAAAACTATCAACTTTTTGTATACTATAGTAAATTATAAAATTGAAGAAGATTAAATTTTCTACAAGAAAAGTATATAATGTGTTTATTTTGGTTCAAAAGATTACGAGTTATAACTTATTTAATTGATATCTTATTAAAATACTCCTTCCATAAGAAATACATGTAAATTAGTATGCGAAATGGGGCGAATCCTATCCGCCCAAAGGAAATAAAGGGTGTCCCAGTAAGAACGCCGGATTTCAGGAGCGTCTTATCCTTATCTGTATTTTAATAGGAATTCCCAAATTATCAGCGATGTTATCAGTATTAGGTCGCATTTGTAGTCATGAATCGTTACATGACGGATCAACGCGTGGTCATAGTTAAAGTGCACTACAAGTAGGCGGAATGTTTCGCTGAAACGGTGCGGAAGCTGCGCGCTATTTTCGCCCGGGATAATGCACAAAATGAGTCATCTGTCTGAAAATTAATTTCTAAGTTCGAAGGAATTGGCTCAGTTTTGGACATTAAAAGACCAGTGCGTAGTCGGGCAGGTTGTTCCCTTGAAAATATTGATGCTGTACATGATAGTGTAGAGGACAACGCAAGAACATCAATTCGTCGGCGTAGTCAGCAGTTGGGCCTAGCTCGGAGCACAGTACAAAGAATTTTGATAAAAGACCTACACATGTTCCCTCAAAAATCCAACTCAAACAAGAGATCAAGCCAAGAGATCCTGTAAAATGGCTTGAATTTGTAAACTAGGTGCTTGGAAATCAAGATGAAAATGACATATTGTAAAAAAACATTGCGGTTTAGCGATGACGCACACATTCATCTAAGCAAGATCGTGCGATTTAACACCGTGTGACTACTTTCTTTGGGGATGTTTAAAGTCGGTTGTTTTTGTCAATAAATCTCAAACAATCCAAGACCTGAAGGAGGAAATTATTCGTGCCATTAATGGAATTCAACATGAAGTGGGTGAAAAAGTTATGGAAAACTTCGTCAATAGATGTCTGGCTTGTCAGCAGGCAGCAGGTGGGCACTTAAGAGACATAATATTCCATTACTAATCGGAGATACTAAGCTTTAAGATTCATGTTTCAGATTGTAAATTTAGCGTGGAAATATATGGTCTATTAAAATTTTAAATCCGGCATTCTTATTGGGACACCCATTATAACTGATATTCTGGAAATCTTGACAAAATTTCCAGTAATTTGACACTTTAATCATGAAATTTTGTCAAAAATTAAAGCGAGGGTGAGCGTTTAAAAATGGAATGATTTAAGGTTTTTTTTTATATTTCCAATAAAAAAAACACCAAAACTCGACATTTTGTTACCTCGCCCTTGCCTTAATTTTGGATCAATTTTAATGATTAAAGTGTCAAATTACTGGAAATTTTGTCAAGATTTCCAGAATATCATTTATATTTCCTTTGGGCGGATAGGATTCGCCCCATTTCGCATACTAATTTACATGTATTTCTTATGGAAGGAGATTTTAATAAGATATCAATTAAATAAGTTATAACTCGTAATCTGTTGAACCAAAATAAACACATTATATACTTTTCTTGTAGAAAATTTAATCTTCTTCAATTTTATAATTTCCTATAGTATACAAAAAGTTGATAGTTTTCGAGATATAATCAAAAAATCCAAAATGCGTACCTTTCTCCCCCCCTTTTTCCCCCCTCCACCCCCTGGCTCACCACCTAGGAGTCAGGACTTTTGGTATGTTAACACCCTAAGCCCCCTGAACAAGTTTCTGAAGGAATCGCTTAGTTACCTGCTCACGCACTCTACACCTCATTCCTTGACTGGACTATACTTATATAGTGCTAATATAGTTTAAATATTTTTTTCAATACTAACGATAAATAAATATAAATAACATTCATCGATAATAATTTAAGGTTGATTTTAAATATGAAACTCGTTGGATATAGTTATCAAATTACAACAATAACAACACATTTTAGATATGTCTAGACAGATAACAGTTCTGTTGTTTACTTCCCTAACAGTTTAAAATAGATGATCTGATATCAAAAGTTAACACAATAACTGTACTGTATGTTTATGTACTAATGAATATCTTTCATAATTAAGGTTTAAAAAATAAAATAAAATCATTCTTTATTCATTAAACTCAAAGAACATGAGTTGGATAAAGTCATAAACAAACGTTAAAAATAATTAACTTTTAATTAACTTTTAAATAAATGAGAAAAAACCCAGATGAAGAAGATACAATATCATAACTATTACTACAATAATGTAGGCAGTAAATACATATCTATTTTCTGGCTCAAATAAAAAGAAAAATTGTATTTATAAACATGGTGTGGATTTAAAAAAGTACCCCTAGCTTTATTATGAAGCTCAACTTAGAGATTACGGTTTTATTTTCTGCATAAGTAGTTTAGTTGTGATAGCAAGGAAGGTTTATTTCACCTCCTTATGTAACATTCAACTCCTTATGTTTATGTAACATTTAAAGCATTCCTAATGGGAGAATATTTTGAAATTTAAATTGAATGAGCCATATGCAATTGATCTCAACTAATATGTCATTGATTCAATACTTGGTCTTAGATACAGCAAAAAACAGAATATTGGATTGCAGCCAAGCTTGGAATGACTGAATTTTCTGAACCACAGAGAAGTAAGAAACAGAGGAGACATTCAATGGTACACTTGAGTAGTGTCTAGCACCAGTCACTGGTGTCTAGAGCAAATGCTATTTGTCGTTCTGCTCTCCTTTTCCCCCTTGCCATCACATACTACAGCGCTAGCACTGTAGGAAGACTCTGTGGGCTACAACTGCTGTACAACAATGCTATGTGGCCATCGACGTTTGGGCTCTTCCTTGCTCGGTACAAGTAGGCTACATTTCCGCCCCAACAAAAACATACCAGAGCTAAAAGCGCATAGTTAGTTGTCCCATAAGCTTGTATCCTCTGTATCTTACTGCTTTGTGCTTGAACTGACTCAGAAAACAACACAAGCAGTACACACTTGTTTAGTGTTAGAGAATATGCTACACTAAGAAAGTTTCACTTCTAATTACATTTAAAAAGCAGTTATTAGTAAATGCGTACTGTGCATACAGTGATCATTGGTTACTTTTAGCAAGATGTAGGCTATCAAATAAAAAGCACTTGAAAAAAGTTTATAAGACTGAAAAATAAATTGTTCTTATATTAGTTTGAAAAATGACAAGCTGAGATGAAAAAAAATCACACTACTAAACTGTGTTTGAAACTTAGTTACTTTAGTAACACAGTTTCAGAGGATTGCTTGATATATTCATGCATAAAATATATATCTAGGCCTATATATCTTCAAGAAAAGAATGCATAAAATACTTGAAATATAAACTTACAGTCTCTAATTTTAGTCTTTGACTTTGGGCATCTTCACGGAAATCAATATCTCTGGATGTGATAATTCCGACCAGTTTTCCACCGATTTTACCATTTTCTGTGACTGGAAAACCGCAGAAACCATGTTCTTTTTTTAGCCGAAATACATCTGCCACCTAAAAAGACAAGGAAAATGACTGAGGTTTTGGGTTTCCCAAATTCTTATGATGCTTGAAGGGCAAAATTTAGTCTAGGTTGTAACAGTGCATTAATAATTTTAAATTTTGTACACAATGCAGTTAAAAATTATACTTTCTAGAATTAACTATACACTTATTATAGTAGTCAAACACAAGTGCACTTTTGTTACAACAAAAATATATTTCCAAAAATAACCAGAAGTATTAATACTCTTGTGAATATAAGATATTATCGCTTGATTATACTGTATAACTGAAAGTTATAGCTTAAAGGAATGTCAACAAAACTTTGTCATGGGTACATCATCAAAGCTATTTAGAAACTAGCTAAGTGCTTTTCTGAGGCCAAGAATGCTGTACACTGTTTATCACAACACAACCCTCACCAACACTCTACTTACTGATACTGTAAACAGTCAAACCTACTTATAAACAAAACACTCCATGTATACTTTCCTGGTTGATAACTATTGGTTGAAATACACAAATAATTTTACCTTACGCTACTGGAATCACACAACACTCTTTCATCAAATCAATTTATTAATCATTGTATTAATCATCAGAGGTGAGAAATTTACCCATAAACTGAGCTCAACATACTGTAAAACAAATGTGTGATGGTATACACAGCTTAATGATACATAACTAATTACTGTATCACGGCTAAATACCTTTAATCAATATTTGTTTATGTATCAAAGTGATTAGAGAACAAATTTTTGCACAACTTAAATTACCATAAGCATACATAACTTACAAAATGTTCAGGTGACAAGACAATAGGGTTACGGATAAATCCGTGTTTGTATTTCTTAACTTTGGCGACTTCGTTGGCTTGGTATTCAGGCGTGCAGTTATGGTGAATGATTCCAATGCCTCCACAAAGCTGGAACGATACAAACAGAATAGGCTAGATTTTATATCCATGTTTAATATTACGCTACTTTGGAAGTGAATGAAATGTGCTTAAAGATAGACCAAATAGCAGGTTGAATAGGTTTATAATTTGTATCTTCTCAAATAATTTAATTTCTTTATTTACAATTTTTTTTTTCTTTTAAAACAAATCGAATAGGTAAATACTAAATTTTTATCGTTCCTAGATTTGATTGAGAATTAATTTTTTTTTTACTATAAGTGTTATATGTGTTAATTTTTACTTATATTTGTTTTTGATTTCTGTAGTTAATTGTGCCCAATTTCTTGTTGTCTCCAAAACCTTCTCTTCAACAACACTCTCCACTAAAATATGGATTTAATTTGTGAGTAATGGGAGAGGGGATAGCGAATAGAGACCAAAATTTTACAAATTAATTTAGGTAAACCTGGAACATTTTTAATTTTTGGTCTCACAGTCAAATATACAGTAGACTACCTCTTATCCGGACACCTTTTAACCAGACATCGGTTTAACCTGACTACACTCGAGGGAAATGACATCTCTTTAACCGGACAATTTTTATCAGCACATTGGTTTAACCGGACTAGATCGGCAGGAAGTGGGCGGTACTGTAACGACTGTTCTCGTGGGAAAGATTTGAGACCAGTGATCACATGTCTAAATACAATGCTCTCCTAAATTAATGTCGAATATCACCGTAAACGGTCCATTTTAATGAGTTTTTGGGGACGTCTTCTTAACCGGAAAACCCGTTATCCGGACTGGTCTCGGTCCTGAGGAGTCCGGATAAGAGGGAGTCTACTGTAATCAAGATATTTTCTGTAGTTTAGTTCATTAAAACTTTACATATTCTGTTAGACCTGCTTACATAATTAATTTTATGTATACTATAATAGAGTAAGTGGTTGATAAAAATGTTTACATTACCATTAAAATTTTTTATACTGTATCCAGTTAACTATTTTAAACTGTAGTATGTTTAAGATACCTACCGCCATGGCGATTGCCATTTCTGACTCTGTCACTGTGTCCATGGGGGAAGAGACCAAAGGAGCCTGCAAAGTAATCTTCTTTGTCAGGGCTGATGTCAAGTCCTGAAATCAGTAACGATCTGAAGGAAATTTATTTTTTAAAGTAATATAGTTTGACAGTATAAGATGAATGAATTGATACTGGTTTTGTTTACATACCTAAATAACACTACGACAAAAAAAACCATGATATGTATGGTTTATATTAGTAGGTAAATGTGAAATAAGAGGTATGCACAGAATGAGCTATATGAAGCTTTGTTACTGACCAAAGACAAGCTGGTTTTTCAGTAAGGTCACTAATTGAAAGTCAAACAATCAATGATTGCTGGGTCAAGTTTCACCTTGAAAACTTACTTCAAACATTATAATGTTTTTATTCATATATAATTTTTTTTGTGATTCTGAGCAGATATAACCCATAATTGTGGAATTGTAAAGAAGCCAAACCTCATGGCTTCCTTGCAGTTTACCCTCAGTTACTTTGGAAACTTAGCACAGGAATCAAACTGGAAACTCAACAAAAAATTTATTCACAGCCCAAAATATGGACAATATTACAAAAAATAACTATCAAACCCATAGTTAGATTAGGTATACTGTAAAGATTAAAAACATATTTGTATATAACCCTTTTTCGGAAAAGAACTTTAATCTCTAGTTTAGCACTAAGTCTTGGCCAGTCCCAAAACTAAAGGGGGCCTGGAGTCTTAGCACAAACTTCTCCACAATGCTCCCATCCCTCACACTAACCCCAGATCAAGTACACTGACCTACTTAAAACAAGAGTTTTCTGTAGGTCAGCATAACAAGTTATTGTTTACCAGAATGTAGGAGCTTACTCGCACAACATTAACAAACACTTCATATTTACGGATAAAAAGTATTCAACTGCTCTGGGTTTAATAGCTTTAAATATTCAACCCTTAAAATGTATACAAAAATATAAATCAGTACTTACAACTTCATCTGCAGTAAAATCAATGAAACCTGGCAGTAGAATGAAGTCACTGTGAACATAAACGCAATTATATCATAAATAAACGGAAATAAATTAAGTATTGGAATACTGTTAAAAAAATATTTAATTATCAAGTATAACAATGTGAACTGTAAAATTTATTATGCAATCAAAATTTCTATTTCCAACCAAACCTCAAAATCTGTTAAGGAAACTAATGATTGTTTTTACTGCCCAATTTACAAAGATAAAAAAGTCATATCATATCAATTATTGGCCTGAAATCAGCTATTAAAAGATTTACATAACAAATCGTTCTTTAAACTAGATTAGACGACAAACTAAAACTCTTTAATCTTTGTGAAAAAATAAGCAAAAAATTATCAGTCTATTTTTAGCAGGATCAGGATGATCCTAGATTCATTGTAGGCAAATGACCTGATCCCAAGGTCAAGGCCAAGGATCAGAATGTGAAGGACACAATAGAACGGGATCCTTTGTTATATAAGGGACAGCTTATATAAACCTGTTATGTAACCAATTCCAATCTTTAAACCCTTCTTACTGCTGTCATTTTATAAAAGCATGATAATTAAAATTTTCCCTTTAAGCATTGCTGTCTAGATTTCTCAAAAATATTTAGGCCCTAATTGTTTATAAAAAAGTAAACGGTGGTGAGAGGTCAGAGAAAATGTTTAGTTCATTTGTTGTACTTTATGATTATCGGTACGATGATTAATAAGAATTTGTATTTGAACTTATACACCAACTCTAATTATTAGAACTGGATCATATTCAAGGGAGCTTGGAATTATATTTTTGGCAGACAATGTAAGAGATTTATAGAATGGTTAGCAAACATACTTTGCTAATAAAAAAGCAAGTATCTATTTAATAACTTCAGGAAACTTTTCTCCCTCAAACAAATTTGCTCAAACTTTATTTTGATGTTAAGACATTTGGTCAAAATATATTTTTGACACTGCAAGATTAGAAGAACAGAAAAGATAACAAGCAGTTCATGGATAAATCAATTAATGATAGTTTTAGTAAATGAGAAAACAAATAACTGCTTAAGAAAAATAAATATAAAGGATTTTTTTATGTTCTTAGTGTCATTAAATTCCCATAGGCTAAGTAAAAACAGCATAGAGGTAAGTGTACTTAAACTCTAATTTTAATTTTGTTATGGTAAAAATATATACAAACACGTTTACAATGACATTCTGAAAATCCACTGTTGGTTAGTACTTATCAAAACCAAACATGGATTAAATGCTTCTAATTTTAAATCATGCCTACGTTTCACAGCTATTGATTATGAAACCCTAGAAAATAAGCACAATGTAGAGTCACAAGTGATAAAATAAGTGTTTGTCTGAATTGTGTTGCAAAATTGTTTACTTTTGTAATAGTAACATCTTGAACTATTGAATTATTAGTCCATTACATTGTTATCCGATAATAGGCTTACATATGGAAGATTTTGTACGTGAATTGCAAGTAAAATTAAGTTAATACAGTACCTTGATATCTCAAACTATACAAATTAATAGATCTGACAAGATTCAGTTTCAGCTCCATATGTTAACCAATGTATGAACTGTACAAAAATCTGATGGTATTGAAAGTCCCACAGATATCTGACCAATTCTTTTGATGTAGCACCACGGCTCTACTGTCCACACAATCACGAGCGACAGACTATTTAGTGGTGCGCTGTACCTATCAAGTAGGCTATAGGCCTACTGTACGCCTATTAAGCAAATAATAGACAATTTCGACTGAAAATATACCCCTAAATTCCCCATCCCATGAGGATACGAACATGAACAGCTGATTTACCTGAGCTCGTTTCAAATTCGTTCAGATAATCACTGTACAATATTCACGATACCAGGTAAGAAGTTTCTTATGTTTGCGCTTAAAGCCTATTTAAAAACATTAATGTTTTATTTTCAATTAACTTTAAAACCAGGAATAGAAAGAAAATTCATTTATGTTTTCCTCTATCTCAACAGCTTAACCATGAGCATTACATAATTCACCTACCGGTACTTCTAAACAAGCATACTTTCATACATGACTACGTTGGTGATTAAACTTACTTAAGTTACATGTAAGTAGGCACTACAAAATCAGTAAGGTAAACAATTCTGATTAACGTAGTTTTAAAGAAAGTGCTATAGGTAGTTATAAAGTGACGATGTGGTTAATAATCACAATGAATGACAGTTTTGCCTACCAAGATTTGTAATTCCAGCTAAAAGATTCATTCAGCATTCAGTTTTGAACAGCTAGGCTATTAATTATATTATATGATTAGATGTCTGTAAGTTTAGGGTAGTGGTGGGATATTAACTGAAAATATTAAACAAACTGTACGCAGACTGAACAAAAATACAATTAGTAGTCTCACCAAACAAAAAGTATGTTGTAAATACAATATTTTACATTCTAAGTTTAACTTATATAACCCTACAAGCATAATATTTGTTCATAGTTAATCCTTAACGACTGATGTTACATAACTAACCACAATACATTATATTTACCACGAACATATTATTAATTTAAAATCAATTCATGCTAAGTAACATACAACTAACATCAAGCTGAAAGAGCTTTATTGTTATGTTGTGTTTGCAATAACTAAAGGAAAATATTTTACAGCCAAGGCAGCTCATAATAGTAACCCATTTTAGATTGAATAGCCACTATATGACATTTTATGTGGCTTCGATTTTGAAAACACATAACTTACTATACTAGATAGTCAAAGAAAACAAACAAAAGCACCTGAATGTGAAGTAGGCTTCATTCAATCCTAACCTCACTAACCTAAAAACACAATGACCCATCTAAGCCTTACTAAAAACTTGAAATTGATAATTTATAGTTTACTTATAATATTGTTAGTAAATAATACTTACTTGTATGTAAGTCCATCCCCATTGGAAAACAGCTGTGCCCCTGTAAGACCATCTTCAGGTACATAACCAGCTCCAGCACAAATTAAGTAATCGGCCATATCAATATACAATTTACAACAAAAATATATATTTGGAAAGTTTTAAGATATTGAAAAATATATATATTATGTAAAAAAACTCTATGGTTGGTTTTCCGCAACGTAGGTTCCACGTGGTATGCCTAACAAGATTTATATGAGATATATTTATCGGCCCTTGTACAGCGTCTGCACTCTTCAGTTCAATGTACACCGGCCAGGCCGCTAACAGACAGAAGGTATTGAATCAGATGTCGATACTATTATACAGCCGGCTTTTCATCCCGCTCCAAACAGCTGACTCTACTTCGTTCTCTAATCACGATTGCCAACACACTTTATATTTAAAGTGAAATAATGAAGAGCAATTTTTGTTATACTATAAATATAATCTTTTATTGAATTATGCATGTATTTCAGTAAATTTAACAACTGTCTTGTGGTTTAACAAAAATCAAACAAACATAGTTCTTGGCTCTTAATTTACTGTTGTACAGTTCTCAACCACACATCCATTACAATTTTTTACAGACTAAATGAATTACTTAAATAAATTAATAAATAATGAAATATTTATAGAGGTCACGATTATTTTTATTCACCGGAGCATAGCTAGCTAGGGTATTAATGGATTTAATGGGAAAACAATTATATCATCTAAATAGCCTATGACATATACTGATCAAACTCTATAAAATTCAAAAAGCTCTACAATTCAAATATAAATTATTGTGTAATGTGTACAATAATTAACTCAATTTATAACAGAATAACATGATTAAATCAAGACGAATAATAAATTTTAATGTGAAAATAATTTAGAAAATAACATATACAGTAACGTAAAAAATTCAACACATTACAATTATTATTGTTCATAATTTTTTGTTAGAATGGATCAAGTTGTTAGTATGGATATGGATATGGATATGGTAAATAATGTAGGCTAGTCTGGGTAAATAGCCTGAGTGATTCCTAAAAAATGATGTTTGAGTATTGAGTAATTAAAATAAGGTTTGTTTGCATATTGTAATGTAAGTATGGTTTTTAGATTGATTTGAAAGTATATAATTTTTGGAAAAATCCAATTCATATTTATTTTTAAATAATCATATTGCAGGCTGCTGTTATTTTTGTGTTTTGATAATAATCTTATGTTCAGAGCTATTGGTTAGCACTATCCTCTAATATTTCCTAAAAAGAATCTACAAAAAAACATTGTCACAGAAAAAACCAGCAGATTTCCAGTTTTTACTTTCTCCCCCTATACCATAGTGTATGGAGAAAGTGTTGTTTAATAAAGTGTTCAATCAAACAGATGATATAATAGAAATTTATAATTAGATTCATATGTACCCAGAGGATTATCATATAATAAATAAAGACAATTTATTCTATGATATTATACTCTGGCAAGTATATTGTATCAATACCTAGGGTTGCAGCTACGAGGCACATACATATTTTTGGTTTGATAAATTATCAGAAAATGTTATGAAACAATAATAAAATAACGAAATTCACCATATTACATGAAACAATAATCCATAATCAAGCAATCTCCACCAATTAATATATTTTCAGTATGAATAACAGTGCACACAACATTTTGCTTTACGTGTTTATATACTTTTTGCTATTCCAGTTTCAAGATCTTTAATTATTTTAAGTTTTCTGTGTTTTTGAGTAAGATGTTCGTGTAAGAACACAGGCAACAACTAAAAAGGTGATTTTTTTTAATTTTAGCCCTTATAATGTCTTGGTAACCAATAAGTGTAGGACTAATATTATTCTAAATTGTTTGTCTTCAACTACTTTTAATGGTAACAAATATTTTTTATGTTTAAAGTTTTGTCTCCTATTTCGGGGCACGAAACAACTCAATGTATGTGGTGTAACCACACTTATTTGTGAAACTAGTGTGTGCACCCGCACACATTATATTTTTCCTACAGTTACCTACGATAAAGCATTTAAATAATTATTCTTTAAAACACTATACAACACTTTTTTAGGTTAGGTTAAATCCAAGCTCTGAATGAAATAAAAAGCGCTAGTATCTTTAAGTGTTGCCAATTTTTTTTCTAGCGTACCTGTATTACGTGCCTAATAAAAGTACACTGTTTTGTGTAGTGTGGTTGGAATGCTGGAGTGCGGTAAAAAAATGAGTGCGGCAAAAGTAAGTAAATGCAGCAATTAGCTACTCATACATATTGAAAATGGTATTTTATTAAAACCCATAGAGCTTGAAAAACCAAATAATTTAGTATGTTGAAGTATTTTGTAGGCTTAACGATTACAGAGAAAACTCCAAACACTTGTAAATTTAAAATATCAATGTCATTGTTATGGAGAATAAATAAACAGTTGTAGTTAGTTTGTTTATGGATATATTTTGATAAAATTTGACGATTTTATTTATTTCATACTAATGCTATTAAAATGTCACTAAAAAGACAATATAAGTTGCCCTGTAGCATCAATCCTAAGTGCTCATTAAATTTGAGTAGTGTATTCCCAGTTTCAAAAACAATAAATTATTGAGTAGGTTTACCTTATGTTTGCAAGGTTCTTGAAGAAAGTAGACTAATGACGCTCCATGCACATTTCACTCCAATGAGTAGCATCTTCAGGAGCACAGTTTATTTACAACATATTGTTTTATATTACATCACTGGTCTGCACACGAGTTCCCGAGAAGGGAACCTACATGTGTGCAATGTCCGCCGACTAAGTGTAAATATTGAGTAGTTTAGTGTAATATAAATACATATGTTGTAAATAAACTGTGCTCCTGATGAAGATGCCACACATTGGAGCGAAATGTCTATTGAGCGTCATTATAATCTACTTTCTTCAAGAACTTGGAAAGGTAAACCTACTCAATAATGCTCACAAAACCTAGTTATTTAAATAGGGGTAAATCTGAGATTTTACAGATATATTTGAGTGAAACTTCAATCTGGCAAATGGAAATTCTCTTTGCCTGCAGGTGTGCAGCGGTGAGGGTATTTTATTTACTTTAAGTCATATTTAGCTATTATCCATCAATCCATGCAAAAATTATAAGTAATTAGTTATTAATTAGTTAGTTTAACTATAAGCTAAATGAATTTACCAATTTTTTTAACCCATCCTCACTAATCACAATTTTCCAGTACTCATTTTAGCACTCAAATTTAACATTCCTACATGAGACAAATATATCAAACTGTCATCGTAACCTTATTCAAACCAAATCCTAGAGATTAACTGCCAATGAAAGTGCTCAATTTTAATGATAAAGATTTATTATGTGCAACATGACTGACTTAAATTTCTATACTTATACTGATTAAACTTACCGGTTACACCCTCGTCAGGTAGTTTGGTATCAATAACCTTCTCCCCCATGATGTGCTGAGTGCTAAGTGCTGATAGAACTAGCTCTAGACGCTGAAGCTGTAGCTGTTACGTAACTTCAGATAAGATACTGCACAATCAACAGAATGGACCATGCCATGAGACAGCTGTTGCTATGTCCAACTCTTTCAGCTGTTATGTATACAACTTTCAAGAAATAGTTTTATTTTTGTATTGTTTTAACTCATAAGGTGGTAAAAAACACAGAATGTCTATGAAAAATTATTTTAATTTGACATATGCATTTTTATCATAAATTCTATAAAATTATGATAAATATGTTGATGTTTTAATTATCTACAGTTAAAAAGACATTATATCTGTCTCAAATGGAGAGGTTCATAGAAATTGTTTATTACCAATAAAAAATTATAACTCGAGACTATAAGCATTTTTCAAAGCAACCATAAGCACTGTTTGTATAGTGGTGGTGATTTATACTATACAGTACTCAACTGTTAAATTAATTAATAAAATATCCATAGCCTATATATATTTTTTATTTTTTATGAAGTGCGTAAAATGGGATGTCTATGAAGCAGATGATGATGAAGATGATATCTTGCATATAGAGAACCAATCTTTTCAAACAGCAGTAAATAGCTTTGAGTTAAGGAGGCAGAAATATACAACAACTAGCAAGAAAGGGTTCATTATCTCTTGTTGGCCTTGGAACATTCTGATCATAAAAAGACACATTCTTTAACAAGGAAAACCCTAGAAGGAGTAAGATTTAAAGCACAGTGAATCCTTCGTGATATAACCAAATAAATTATTGTCAAAGACGACAAGATCTGAACTATCTTAAGACCCAAGAAAAATAATCTAAAATCCTGATGATTTTGATGACTTTATTGCAGCTGAGACGCATTTCAGGTACATGAGAATATTTGATAAGAGTGGTTACAGATTCTGTGAATATAGGCTATTAAAGAGACACTTTTTAAATTTAAGTAATACTATTCCCTAAATCAACAAATATCGTTGTAAACTGTTTACAACTCAATAGCAATATACTAATATACCGTCCTCAACAAAATACCTCTGAAAAAACAAGACAAAGACAATCAAACAAACCCCCTCCATGAATTTGATGGATTATCGACTGTGAAGAGGAGTCCTAATTTAAGATTTACATCATTTTTATAAAGTTTTTTAGCACCCATATATCTTTTTAGCGAATTTCCCTATAGGGAAGTAGCTATTACCGTAGGTCTCATGGTAAGACTTAGGCCCGGGACCGATTTACTTTTTCATTTTAATGTCCCCAGAGGCCAAAAACACCATTCGTTCAAATTTTTATATATGTATATATATATATATATAGATTTATATATATATACTAGCAACAGTGCCCGTTGTGGTTAAATACAACGGTCTCTACTCTAGTAAAATAATGGTTATGAAATCCATACACCACTTTACCCACTAATATTAATGGTACAGATTAAGCACATAACATTAGATAATTATATTATGCATACTGGTAAACCAATTATTGCCATCTATAAAAATTATTGGTTTTTCTTTTCCGAGTCGGGTTAGCTCTTTTACCCAACCGATTTTCATAATTTTGGTCTTAAACTAAAGGTATGGACGTACCACAGATTTGCCATAAAGCATCGGCATTTATTTTGACGTATATTTTGAAAGAATTTTAATTTTATTATTTTTATTTTTCACTTCAATTAAAGTTGTATTCCAGCAGTTCTATATGTTACCCCTATATATTTTGGTCTAAAAAACTTTAGTGAAATACCAGCTTTCATTTGAGCTATTGATTATTAAGATCTGACTACCTAAAACACACTGCTGAATCAAAAATCAACAATAATTACAATCGTTTTAGTACTTATCTGCAATCAATGATACGTAACTTTATTTTTATGTAAGTTATTTTAATATGTCTTGGTCTTAAAATACTTCATAGGCTTTCACTTGAGATATTGATAGTTTTAAACAGTTAAGTTTAAGATACTGTATCGCTCAATCAGAAAATATAAATTTGATTATATCTTGGATATGGAATTTAGTTTTAGATATATTTACTTAATTCTAATTACGTTATTCTATTTGTTTTGACCTAAGAACCTTCTTTGAAATACCAGCATCCATTTGATTTATAGATTATTAAAATCGGACGTACCTAAAGCACACAGCTAAATGACGTACAACACAAATTGTTCAAAAAATGTAGTTATTTGTCATTGATTTATAGTCAAACGATCTTGCTTGCAACCTCTACAGTAACTGTCGACTATGACGGGTTTAACCTAGTAAATCTTTAAAAATATCAAACTTTTATGATTATTTGCAAATCTACACAAATTAGGCTTTCCAATGACCTATTATTTAATAAAATCGGTTCAGTAGAACTGTAGATTTAATTGTACAAAGTTTAACTACAACATCTCTAATTCAGTATTTTCTCACCACTATAAATTGGGAGGTTGCTTAACGTTTTTGCAAATAACTTTGAAACGGTGAGGAAATCGACCAAAGTGGAAGGTGATATTCTGAAAGAGAATAAAATTTCCTACAAATTATTAATATGTGTTTTTTGAAAATACTCAATAAAGGCAGCCTAAAGTTGGCTACAAATATAAACTTGGAAATATAAACTTGGAAAAAATGAGTTTTAAATGTATTGTTGTTTATTTTCATTTTTTCACCTCAAATATCTAATAAAATCAAACTTTCATAATTATTTGCAAATCTACAAAAATTAGGCTTTCCAACGACCCATTAAGTAACAAAATCGGTCCGGTAGAAGTCTAGATTTAGTTGTACAAAGTTTAACAAAAATATATCTAATTCAGTATTTTCTCACTACTATAAATTTGGAGATCACTTAGATTATTGCCAATAACTTTTAAATGGTGGGGAAATCGACCAACGTGGATGGGATATTCTGAAAGAGAATAAAATTTACTACAAACAACTACTATGCATTTCTTGTAAATGCTTAATAAAGGCAGCCAAAAGCTGGCTACAAATAGAAACTTGAAAACAGAAACTTTAAAAATCAGTTTTTAATGTATTTTTGTTATTTTTACTTTTTTACCACAAAGATATAATAAAATCGTACTTTCATAATTATTTGCAAATCTACATGAGTTGGGCTTTCCAATAATTAACAAAATCGGTCCAGTAGAAGTCTAGATTTAGTTGTACAAAGTTTAACAAAAATATCCCTAACTCAGTATTTTCTCTTTACTATAAATTCGGAGGTTGCTTAGCTTTTTTGCAAATAACTTTTAAATGGTGAGGAAATCGACTTAAGTGGAAGGTGATATTCTGAAAGAGAATAAAATTTCCTACAAATTGATACCATACACTTCTTGGAAACACTCAAAAAAGGCCCCAAAAAGTCGCACCAAAATAAGAAGTGTGAAAAACACCGTTTTCAATGTATTTCTTATGGAAAACATGTTTTTTTAAAAATTTTCACCATAAATCATAACAAAAACAAACTTTCATAATTATTTGCAAATCTACACGACTTAAGCTTTCCAACGACCCATTAGTTAATAAAATCGGTCCAGTAGAACTCTAGATTTAGTTGTACAAAGATTTTTAAAACTGAATTATATATAGAATAGATATGTGTCCGTGAACACGATAACTTGAGTAATTTTTATCCGATTTTGATGAAATTTGGTTTGAAGGTGTAAGGCGGGATAAACTTGAATGAGTTCGCGATCCAGCATGATCGGACCATGGGAACAGGGTTTTATGGGGTAAAAATTGGTTTTTCTCACTTCTTACCCTCAAAACACAAAATTTCCCAATTTTTCTCTAAACCTTCTTAAAGAGCTTAAAAAAACAAACAATTCAGTATATCAAAGTGTTTTTGTACGGTTATTGGTTACGGAGAAAACTAAAAAAATGGTAAATTTAAAATTCCCATGTTATTCTTATGGAGAATATTGTAAAATGTTGTAGTTTGCTTGTTTATGGATATATTTTCATCAAACTTGGCAAATTTATTTATTTTATAGTAAGCTATCAATATTTTACTAAAAACACACTACTTTATTAGTTTCCTTGTAGCAGCAAACCTAGGTACTCGTTAAACCTAATGTTATTTAAATAGATCAATTGAAAATCAATTCGGCCAAATGGAAATTCGCTTAGACGGCAGGTTTGCTGCGGCGGGGGTATTGTAGTAAAATATAAACCCTGAAAATTAACAGGACAAAATGTTTTTATCTGAATTAGTTGTCACAATATTTTTTGAGCTGACCATATATTTTATATTGGTAGGCCTAATATTGATGCATCTTTAATTGTGCGTGTTCAAGACAAAGTATACCTACAATATAAACTTTAGTAAATTTAAATTTTGTAAAAATTTACATTTACATTTCGTGGATTGGACAGTTTACAACTAAACTATATGGCGGTCTAACAACTCATAGTCTTAAAGAATCGTTATAATTTTCTGAAGATGGGGAATTTAACACTGTATATATGTATTGAGAATTGAAGGAAAATCAAACTATTGGTAGACAGTCAGACTCAGAATTGCTATTCTATTATTAGCCAATGGAGATCTAGATTCAGTTGAAGTACATGTAGTTTATCTATAACTACAGCTGTTTCGCTACATAGAACATTATCAACCAGCCATTTAAATATTACATGAACTATGTTGTACCACTAAACTACGCATGGTCTTCTTAGCTAGATTATGCTATGTTCTCACTTCTCATGAAACATTAAATAACTTGACTATGGTTAAACTACAAAATCGTTCAACAGTCCAGGAAATTTAGACCTCTATGGTCACTAGCCTAATTTTGACGATTTCGAGGTAAATTTATCACGAAGTAGCTATTATTTAGATACGAAAATTAATCAATAGTTTTTTAAACGATTGACAATGTTTAAGGTAATAATCGTTTTACATAATCCAATAATACTAGTTGCAGAGAAACATGAGTGAATGTAATGTATAACCGTAAATAAACTCAGTAAAATTCGAAATATTAATCCTCTCGAAAGAACATTTAGACATGCGAGGTAGATCTGTATTCTAGAACAGATTGATTGGGGTGACGAAACAGCGAAGGGAAGAATCACATCAAGGTATCGATGGCTCTAAAGGGGTCAGAAGTCAAACGCCCCCGGCTCGGGCTCGAACCCCACTCGTTGTACTTTGAGTGACCCAATTTGAGTTTCAGCCTAGAATGTTAACATCGCATCGTTGATTTTATATGTAATGAAAACATAACAATCAAGCAATTCGGCGGGGCGGGGAAGAGTTACCCAACTTTAGACAGAAGTGGGGGGTATCGAAGTGGAGGATTACTAGCAATCCTGTTAGGCGTTCATGATTCCATTAGCAGTACAGTTAGGCTGTAGGCTCCGTGTTGGCTACCAACTACCGAGAACATCATGCATTGACGGCACATGGACATTTATCTCCCATTTACACAATCAGGTGCTTGTAATTATTACATTGTAGAATCGTGTGTTAGAGATAGATTGTGATTTGTGACGTAGCATCCTGACTCAACACACGCCATTATGGTTTGTCCCGGTGGTTCTCAGCTATTGTTAGAAACAAAATATACAAGTGATTTGATTGTTTGAAGAATTGTGATAATTGTACTGTATTTTATTCTAACTAAGACCTTACTCAAATTCTAATTTGAAACGTATTCGCGATTTCTTGGCCCGTGTTTCTAACCTAAAAGAGATACCAATTTGTTTGCAGTTTCTATGGGTTGTGTTGGCGTCACTGTGCGTTACTCCAATTGTGCGTTAAGCCCAACTGGAGAAGGAAATGTACGGTATATTGTTTTTATGTTGACATTAACTATAAACTATAACACATTTATAGCTCACTTAGACTACTTATTTCATTGAAGGTAGCCACACCACAATTAATTATCGAATTTACAACTACTGTAGAAGATAAAGAATGTACCTGATTTTATTTTACGAGTAAAGGAATTTCTGAAGAATTTAATAGAAACATTAAAATATTACATTATTTAGCCTACCTAAAAACGGTCATAACTAATAAATTGATAAAATGTAGCTGTACAAATTTAATTTTGTGAAGATTTAAAATTACAATTGAAACGTCTGTCAGCATTATTTGTATGATCTTAATCTACGACAGTGCTTAAATACTCTATCATATATCATAATACAGAAACACATTTATTTATATTGTCCGACCCCAATCAATAGGTTGTAATTAAACGTGATATTGCCTATTGAATATTTATATATGTGTATGCATGGTGCTAAATAATGAGGTAGACACATCGATGTATAATAACTGAACTCCCTCCTGTACATTGATGGGTAGACATTGAATTACATGGAAGGAGTATTTTAGACGTGGTGAGATACGCCTAAAATGGTTGTATTTTTAGTAGATTTTTAAGCGTGCATCCAGTGAAAATATCAATACATTCAAGCAGTACAAATACATTCAAAACAATTGAGAATAATTACGAAATTATGCTAAAATTCTTAACTCTCACCAAAGCAGCTACCTTACTGAGTTGCTGTTCAGATGAGCATGTTCCACCCATCGATGTATATAGTATAACTAGACTATATAAATCGATGACTTCACCATAGTACTATATTCAACCAGTGTATCGATCCGTAGTTCTACAATACGGAACGCCCGGGAACGGTGTCGGTTTTCTGTTAATGCCTGATTCAACATTGTAAGACTTCATTGCGACCAACCCGTCTTTGGCCAACCCCGAGACAAAACTGAGACGATTAAAAATCAATTAGTTAATGCATTTTAATTTCGAAAACTACTTATTAAACTGTCTATTAAAACCAACATGTATGTAAAAATATTTCGTCTCTAGAACTTGACCTAAAATAGAAAACATAAAAAGTAAAATCAAGACAGCATTGGAACTAAACATGAAAACCATAGAATCGTTCTAACAAACGGATACGGATAAAATGTGAATATAAATAGGCCCAGACAGAGTGCTAGTGCCTGCAAACTAAATTGATCCTGAACAACATTCTTGATCACACAGCAAATGCATTACATATATCTGTAAACACAACATACTTTCTTTAGCAGGCACATGCTAACCTAGTGTGCTGAGCCACGACCGCCTTTAACTCCAGGCCGCGGCCTTCAAAGTGGAAACGTCGCAAGTAGGGTTGTAACAGCTGTTTTTTTTTTAAGCAGCTAATGGTATTTGTCTATTTACGAAAGCTTGGCCATAGTCATAGTCAAATTTCTTTATTTATCTTGTATATACATACATAAATAGTGCCACAATAAGTTAAAATAATGATATCATATGGTAAAACTACATCAAAGCTCTCTCAAAGCTATTTAAAAATTAATTAAATTAAAATGACCCATTAATCAACTTACTAGAGTTAGATACTGAAGAAAAAAAATAACACTACTTAAAAATGTTTACATGCTAAGTTAAATTACATGAAGTATATACATTTACATGTATACCTCTGAGCATCTCAAAGAATCAACTCCAATGTGGTCTGGAATCAACTCAATAATGGTTACTGGACTATGAAAATATTGACTCCGCTTAAAATGTACAGATATAGATTTTCAATTCATATTGTTTTTGGTTTTCAATTCTGTAAGTTTTATTTTCAATATTTTAATAAATTTATGTTAATACATTTAAATCAATAAAGTGCGAATTAATGACCTGATGTCACCTGTCTGTCATGTTATGTTATGGGACGTCTGACTCTTAACAACCCTCCTTGGACGTTGCCAATTCTACAAGGCCGTGGCCTGGAGTTAAATGTGGCCGTGGCTGAGCCTAGCCTCGTGGCCTAAAAAAAATCATCAAATTCCAGAATGGATTCCATATATGAACCGATTTTTCAGCACACTCACAAAAAGGTGACTTGTGTAAGAGTTGAGTTTTTGCAATACTATCTCACATTTAACAGTATGATAAGGCACTTGTTTATCAAAATTGCATTGGGTTTTCACAAGGGTTGTTTATACAATAAAATAAAACTATTAGTTAAATGCAAGCGAACATTGTAAACTGTGCTCTTATAATGGAAAGATAACTGAATTATCTGGTATAAGTTTTTCATTACTATCGTATTTAAAAAATACATTTTATCAAAACTATCAAAGGTACAAATATTGTCAGTTTTATTAGTTTTTTGGGCAATATGGAATTTTAGACTGTGAGTCCAAGGAGTCATTCAAATTTTAATTTCATTGTTACAAAAAGCTTGAAAGGCTTCACTCAAAATATACTTCTAAGAATAAACACTTTCTAGTAACATAAAGGGAAGTAAATTAAGTATAGATCTGCTAATTTAAACATTCCAAAATACTCTGGAATCGGGTGAATGCAGGAAATAATGGCAAGCTCTCATTGACCAGATCCAGAACTCACAAACTGCAGATATTCTGAGATTCAAGAGACAATTCAAAGAGAATTTACCATCCAGTTTTGTTTCAAATATATTGAAAGCTTCAAATTATTTTCTTACTAATTACTTAACACGGTGCTCAGTTTGTAAAAAAATGAGGTGCCGGCACTGTAACCTGTTTCATGTGATTAGTACCTATATTTATGCCAATATTTTTATGTTTCTGAAAGAGAGGTACCGAAATGTTGTTCCACCGCGTTCCCCCGCAAATCGAGCACTGACTATAAACATATCCTTGTAACTAAAATTAAACTAGCTGACTTATAAATTTTACTAATCCATTTGACTTACCATAAAAGTACTGGAATTCAAACACATACATATACTTGGGCTTCTTCAGCCATCCCCAAAGATAATTTAAGACGAAGAACTTCAGAAAAATTAAATTATCTTGAATATCCCTTAGATTAAAAATATGAAAAGAACATCTCTCCTTAACAAAGCTCAATGCAAGTGGTATTCAACATTATCCATAGAATGAAGAGCTCATATTATGCAGAGTGGACAACCCACTAAGAAAAGCAACTAAAGGGCAATTATCGACTACGTCTTTCATAGTTCAACACTCATATCTACTTACATTGCAATAATGAAGAATTGGTTGAATCAAATATTGCATCTATGTAATTACATTAAACCTTGGGTTTAGGCAGTTAATTGTAAGGACTTTGCGTTTATTTTGCAAGAAGAATTGCTTGCACCATATGGCATTTTTTACAGCAAATACTTCTTGTTCCAGGTCATGATGCCATTCCAAAGCCTGATCCGGCCGTCCCGAACTGACCTAAGTCATAGATAGCTCAAATGGTATACTTGAGGTGTGTTTCAGGATTACTTAGTTATTTTCAACCTTGAATAATAGTTAATTCAATATTTATAAACGATAAGGTAAAGGGGCTTTCAAATTAAATTACCAAAAAACTCTCCTTAATGACAATGGAATTAGTGGATTTTTGGAGTTTTTTTACTTGATTTAGCACAAACACATGATGAGCCTCTTTTGAAGAACAAATTTAAATTTTTGTAAATATAAAGTCTTGTTGTCTAGATAATCGAAAATGTGTCGAAACCAAATTATTAAAAATATTTTTATTACATCTATCTGAGTAAAAACTGAAACTTTTAGAATCACCTAAGCTATTGAGATGTTTTGAAATAATATTTTGAGAAGTATATTTTTTCACTCTTTTGCTATTTTAAAAATACTTTGAACATTCATGTTTCATATATAGCTAGTTTTAATAATTTTAAACACTATCGCAAAAAAACCTACCTCTCTAATTAGCGTTCAAAATGTTAATGTTTAACGATAGTAAGAAAATTATATTTTTTTTGTTTTCTGCTTGTTTCTAAAGCAAGCCAAATAATGGATTTTCATTAATAATTATTATGTTTTTTGAAGGATGTCATAGTTTGATAGTCAAATTTTTCACTAAATGAATTAAGGTCTATTCCATTTTCAAATACATAAGTTTGAAAAAGATCGTTTGAAAAAATGCAATAATACACATTTATATTTTAACAATACAAAATAGCAGATATATGGTTAGCAAAATGTTTTCAGAATAAAAAACTTATCTTTGATTTTCTCTTTATTCGACCCATAGAACCATTTCCCAGAGTGTGGCTGTTTACTTACGGAACACTCTGAATATTTATATTTTTTTATTATTCTTGTCTTGTTCATTAATATTTCATCAATTTTTCAGATTGTAATGTGGACGAGATCCATCCTACTGGTTATGTTGACGGCATTTACATTATGGCACGTCACTAACAGCAATGAGTGAGTATATTGCACTTTCTAGATGTAGGCCTACCATTTCAGTTAGAATTAAAAATCTATTCTATAAATACTCACTACGGTAGTTAATTCATTAAGTGTGACATTTAAAAGAGTTCACACATTATTAGTGTACATAGTATATTCACTACATATATTCACCACAACATGATGACAGTAATTTTATCAATGTTTTTTTTTTTCAATTAAAAAAAATTTTATTATGCTACCTATAAGAGAATAATAACCAACATTCCTACACTACTGGCAGAGAAAGTAAATTTGATTATAGTGATAGGAGGATTTTGAAAAAGATGGCTTACTTTAACACAAACTATTAGAAAAACCGATGAAAACCGAATTGCACAATCAATCAGTTTCTTTGAGATAAACGTCTCTCCAATCGGTTCTCCCCTTCCCTAAAACCTATACAAAGCTTCCCTGAAAAAAAAAACAAAAAAAAATTGGAACATGTTGTATGCATGGGGAGCATTAAAGCTGTATCAAAATAAATTTATATCTGTTGTGTGCAAGGTTACCAAGCTAAAAAAATAAAATTTATCTTGATCATCTTTTTCCACACTTAACAACCTGAGTTAGAAACACATTCCAAGTTGACACACTATTTTTATCTTTGCCATCACATTCTTGCATATACACCAAATGACTTGTATACTAGATCACATAATGACATAAACAACAAAATGTCTAATAGTGGTTTAGAGGAATGATAAAACACAATTGTCAGTTTTCAAAAAAAATTTGAAAGCAAAATGTCATCATTATTACGTATTATTGCATCTTCCTTAGCAATTAGTTTCACAGAATATTTCACACTATATTTTGATAGATGCGTAGCTTTGACGCCATTTGATGTACAATATGAAATAAAGACTTTTTGATTTGATTTGATATCTGATCAAAAATCTATTAGTGATCCGATATTACACTTAATTGCTGAGGAAGATACTGTTTTTGAAAATTTGATGAAACTCTCCCAAAGGTAGCCTGTAAGCTAAATTTAGAAGCCCATTCAAATCTATTTGGTAGCGGTTAAACCTTTCTCATAATCAAAAGTTCTGACTACACATTTTGCACAACCTTTTAAAACAAGCAGTGCAAATACAACAATATACAGTATTAGTCTTCGTACTAAGGGAGAGGATGAAGGCTTGAATACTCACTCACAGTTGATTCTGGTCATCTGGCAAAATTTGCTACACGGAATAGCTTATGTACGTTGTGTCGATCATACAAATACATATCCCAGTTCACGAGGAACGGTTGAAATCCATGTTCAAGTCTAATCAAATATGAAGGGCTTTAGGAGCTATGTATATGCACTATGAGATATTGGTGAAACTGGGAGAAAAAATAACTTGTATAATTCCGAATTGGCTTAAACAAAAGATGTTACATATATTTTTCTGTCATACATAGCACCCTTAGTTCTATAGCCTACTTTAGAGCAGAAATGTTTCTTACAATATACTAGGGCATATACTTAGGATAGATATAGAAATGTACAAGAAATCATAGAAATAAAATTAATACCTTTTAACTACATTTATTTGCCTTTCTTTTCAAAATATTTCAAGCATTCATTGTAATGAAAATAATTAGGCCTACCGGTACTCATCCTTCCTCATATTCCTATAAACCTCACTCTATCTCTAGTAATTTTGTTTTATGCATGACCTATCAATTAACCTTTAATGTTTCTTTAGCAATTATCGGTTAACTTAATCTAAAGATTAAACGATAAATATAAACGATTTACTTTACAACAAATGTACCAGTAGGCCTATTAACAGGATTGTTTTGGTTGTTCTCTTACATCAGTAAAAAGAGTAAGGTGTTAGAACGATTTTAATGGCAAGCTGGAAAGTTTTTCAAAACCTACGCATTCCTTTTAAAATAAAATTTCAATGATCTGTACAGCATATAACATGTCAAGTCGAACATATATGTGTTGAAATAAAATGCATAAAAGTTTCAATTTTTGTAAATATCTCACCTCACATTCACACTTCACAGCAATATAAATATTAATTTTTACTATGTTATTTCATGTGTTTGTGACCACTGTAACCTAACATGTTTAGGTTAGTTTAATACGTCACACAGAGATGTATGGCGTATAGCTTGTAGCGCGGTGGTGGGGGTGTTTCAGGCGATGTCACCGACCACGCCACGGCCGCAGACCGAGGGAGCCTGCAGGGTTCAGATATCGGCCTCGGACAGACAAGTTGTGCCACGGGCCCTGCATCGAACCACAACACCGACACCTCTTATTGTTGGGAGGAACCAACAACCGAGAGCGATTGCGCCATTGCAGCATCAGTCAACACATCGATGGCATTTCTAGGCTATACTCGGCCCTCTCCCTCAGTGAGCCTGAAGTTGTCATATTGGTCCAAGTGACCAGAGACTGGACACCTGACCCCCAAGTTCTAGACCTGATGGCCGGCCGTTTAGGCAACGTGTCTGTATTTGTAGGAGGTCACCACTCGGCAAACTCGATCCTCCATTACTGTCGAGGAATGGGCGATCGGTGTTTCCGACTTCAGACTTTATTCCCCGTCCTAACTGAGATCCACAAATGGACACCTCCCGGAGAAATATCATCCACTCTTTTGGACATTTACGATCCTAGATGGCTTCCCATCACCACCCCTGCCCCTCTAAATCCCAACCTTACGTTGTCGACGCACAAACAAATCGAAGAACTTACTTCCCAGCTCTGTGTTCGAGATAGGAGGCTCAATCGCTACTTCGAACTGCATCATACGATTACTGATGTAGACGAATTGTAAGTTCATGAAAGTGCAAGCAGTTAGGGGAATAATTCTTGTTCTTGTTCCAAATCCACCAAGACAGGTTTGATTTAAAATTAAAAAAAATTGATGTAAATAAATACAGGTCTTGAATTTTTACATAGTATTTGTTACCCTGCTCAATTAAACTTTCCTATCATGCACATGTGTAAATCTCTAACTAATGTGCTTTTCCTATCCATCAGAAAACCTAGACAAAATATACAATGATGTGATACCATGAATACAGAATCAATCAGACTTACAAACCTTAAAATTGAAAAGTACTTAAAGTAGTTTTGACCGAGTAAGTGATCCTTGTCAGCAGACTTTGTACAAAGACATGTGTGATGGTTGGCAGTGACAAAGCGAGCCATCGAATGTTTTGCTCTGTTACAGGAGGACTGGGGGAGACGTGATAGAGCCTGGGATGGTAACAGAGTCCAGTCTCTCACTAAGAGACATTCTACCCATCAACCCAAAACATTATGACAAAAACCGAGCACCTAAGTTCCAAGGACAAGCAACTATTGTTTATTTCCATGTCACTGTTCTCTCTCTGGACTCAATCAATGAGGAATCAATGGTTAGTATCTCTTGTATTACGATCAATTAGGGCCTGCCATCATTTTATCTTACATACCGAGCAGTTTTTGAAAACTGAGATGTGTTTATTCTAAATATTTTATTGTTTGAAATTTAGAAAATTGGAACGTAATGACTCAGCATCCTTTAATTTTCAAGGGAATCAGACCAAATGTTTAGTTTAATTTAGTTTTAAATCACAATCATAGAACAAATATAAATTTTTATACATATTTTTGGTAGAGGGCAATATAGGTTTGATATTGTATTTGACAGAAAAACTGGTACAGTGAGTATTCTCAATAGTAAACATATTTATATAGGTACACACACAAAATTAATATATATTAGGTATTGTATTGTTACCAACCATTTTGTCAATGACAAAGAAATGAATATTGTAATGGTCGCCAGAACAAGTACAACAAAAAGTATAATTTTTCTTACTTTCATGTAACTTAAGGTTTTTGGAAACCAAGATCTGTTTATTATGTTCATTGAGATTTTTGTACTAAAAAATTTGTAATGTTAAAATTTAAACTCATTAATTAATTTTCTAGGGAATTGTACCCAACATACGGCTTGGCTTTGATATTAATTGGTAACACCATTCAACATATTAAATTAATTTATCCTTGCTTTTATCGCTACAATCATTTAGATACCACATCAAATACTGGAGTAAGTTATTCTTTTAAGCTTCACATATTGTGTCTCCAAAGACTTATTTTGGTAGTTCAAAAATATTTTTGAATATAAAAATCGTAAGGTTACATATGATCAATTTTTAACTTGAGTTTTTGTTATACATCAAGAGTTCACTAAAACATGTTTATTTAGTTATATTTTAAACATTTGCAGGTCAAAATTATGGTAATACCATTTCTAAAAACGGGATCAAAAGCAATTATACAACATAAACAAGTGTTAATATTTTTTGCAATGAAAATTAGTTAAATTCATAGAAGGCACTTTTACTTTCATACAGCAACTGTAGCTTATATTCTTGATATTGACAATAGGAATACATATTATATTTGACCCTAATTTTCTTCCCATAGACCTATGTCGCAGACATTTTCTTAGCACAAAGTTGGAGGGACCCGAGACTTCGCTTGCCAGAGAATATGAGTGAGGAGTACAGGATACTAGACGTCGAATGGCTGCATGATATCTGGAGACCGGACTGTTTTTTCAAAAATGCCAAAAAAGTAACTTTTCACGAAATGAGTATTCCCAACCATTATCTATGGCTCTACCACGACAAAACACTTCTTTACATGTCAAAGTGAGTCGGTATTTAAAAATATATTTCACCACTACAGTAGTTTCTTGTTGAAAAGATACCTATCATCAAGGTATGAGCAATATGAAGCTTAAAGCGATTAAGTAGGAATTTAACTTCCAAGTTATAGTCAGGGTTATAAAAAAACTTAGTTAAATTAATCCACCAATGTATGCTGATGAAAAATAAATCTTTTTCACACCTCAATTATAATCATGACAAACTTAAAAGGTCCACTCATAGTAAACTACAGCATATTTCATGTCCTCATTAGATATCACACAGAGAACAACTACAAGCAATTAGAACCAATAGTAAACACTAGGGATTCATTCATTAACTTATGTTACCCTGAATAAAAATACTGGCTACACCCAGTCCATAAAGATGAGATGTCCACTCAAATATCCAAAGTATTTGTACCAAGCTATTTCATGATAATGCATGTTATACTTTTGAGTAATGGTTTAATCTCTTAAGCAAAGTTTGAATGAAATCTCTCTATTTTCTATCTGACATAGGTTTTTCAATACATAAGGCTAGAAATAAAACTATAGCTAAGCGCGCACTGGGATGTACAGCTGATATGGATGTTCCTCACTTTTTTAATAGAGTGCACGCACCGTGGCGGCCTAGTGAGCGCACAGATAGGTATATCAATGCTAAATATTTTTTAAAAATCCCGTTCTTACCGTCTGTCTGTGCTGTCATGACCCAGTGCGTTCTGAGCTTAAGGATGCAATTTTTTAGAAATAAAAGTGAACATAAGTCTTGTAAGGAACTAAGGCTTGATGAAAGATTTTTACAAAGCAAACTATGTTAATGAACGCAAAAACAATATCATTTTCAAAACTCGGATGAGTATTTTGCCCTAACTATTATTGATAAACTGGATTTATCGTCCAAAAACTGACAAAACTTTAAAAATTTCATGTTTTTCAGGCTTACACTTGTACTGTCATGTGCTATGAAATTTGAGTCCTATCCTCATGATACCCAAATCTGCTCAATGATGATTGAAAGTTGTAAGTATTGTTATACAATTTAAATTTTTAAGTCGTTTGAAAACCATAAAAAATATTGTATATACAAAAACTAAGAAGTCTTGAACATTAAGTGAAAGATCTGTATGAAATTAATGGGAAGGTAAGCAATGAGCGTAAGCTATTAATGATGAAGTACCCACCCATTTCACTCTTTCCAAAATAAAACCAAACATACAAAACCAAAATAAATAAAGAGATAGATTAGACATACTTCCTAATAAATTTACTATCCTTATGGATCAGCTGAAGACAAAAATTTCAAACCATTTTTATGTTTGTAACTCTTGAGTGACTAAATGTTTTCTATTTATAAATTTTTATTTTACTGCTTTTATAATTATCTGTACCAATTAAAATTAAATATTTGTCAACTACTTTTCGTCCTATAATTTTACAACCAAGAAGTTAATCTAAAATTGTAAAAGAATATAAATGAAACAGAATACAGCAAGGTGTGATACTCTTGACTGTGATTTCATGGACGTCAATAATGACTACATGTGACGGAGAAGATGTGTTAATCAAACGCAACCGACCTGGGATTTTCTATGGCTTCTGATGGCTAGGCTGTATTGATTGACCCAACAACATCTGCCTCTTAATCATGCCTTCTTGAGCCCATATATTGGATTGCTGTTACTGATAGCATTACTTAAACTCCGCTTTCAGTTACACTCGTTTTTCCAACGTTGCTTTCTGGGTTTCACTTTCCACTGAAAAACTAATAAGTCAGGAGTTAGTGGAGTTAATTAGTCTCGTAGTAAAGTTTTTTAAGGGAACTTATGCATGCTACTGAGGTGCATTTTCTTCAATGGATCTTTGGAAGACTTAAACTGTTTTATGACTTTGTCAGATTTGACTAAACATTCTTCATGGTGCAATGGTTTTGCATAGTCAGAAAATACTATGTTAGTCCCCATTACCTAAAGTTACTGAATTATGCCAAAACAAGTCAATGTAAAAATAAAAACAGAGGAAATTACGTTCCGCTGTAATAATAAATACTTTGGTTGTTGAATCTTTTAATTGCTCCAAACATTATTTTGTGTACTATCATTGCACAGACCTCTCCACTTTTTTTTATATATGTGGATCATAAGCTTTGGATGGGCTTCCAATCACCTAGTTTCAACACTATCACAAAGTATAGTCATTGGTTATTGGGGAGATTTTAACCAAGGCTTCTGGCACACAAGTCCTGTGCTTTAACCATTAGACCAGCTGTGTTCCATTTCCATTTTATATAAGTTTGTCAACAAATTTTAAAATGCCACAGGCGTAGAAAATAAAAGTGACAATTTCAAGTGGAACACGCTTAATCATAGTAATGTTTCCAAAAAACCCTTCTTGATAGGAATTTTATAAACTTTCTGGGACTTTTTTATTCAATATTTAAATGTTTATACTCATCTGGAATCACTTGGTAGATTTGGGCTTATCTTTTACATGTTTCAGTATCTCACACAACACATGATTTGGTGTTCATATGGAACATGACGGACCCATTAGTCGTCAATCCAGAAATAGAACTGCCTCAACTGGACATATCTAACAACTACACAGCTGATTGCACCATTGAATACTCAACTGGTATGTTCATCATTTACGTACTTTAGTTACGCAGTCTGATCACGGGTTGATCAGCTGAACATTGCTGGTTTGAGACTGGAATTATATAATCCTCATTTTATGCCGGGTTTAAAATGCACAATACAATAGAAGCCAGGCATCCAAACTTATACTCGTTCTCAAGTAGGTGAGTAAATGGATGAAGTAGATGGTTTGTCTTTATATTCGTCTATTAAACTTTGACACCGTACAGGGTTTTGAAAAAGAATGCCAGGATTTTGAATGGCCATTGCTTGGGGACTATTCAAGGTAATTAATCAATTCAAACGTCAAATTTAAGGGAAAAGAACAACTTTTGTTCATACTTTGATAAAATCATATGATCATAAAACTAGCAAAGTCTGTACGCTTAGGGCGATTGGCGTTGAGCTGAAGTCTCAATCTTTTACGAATAACATCGTAGAGTGTGGATTTAGGTATGTTCCAACGGAGACTTTGTCGGGCAGTCGAGTTTTTCGGTCTTCTGATACAGGATTGTCGAATTCTTTGACTTTGACATCACTTGTTTTTGTCCGGCCAGGTGAATGTACTTTCAAAATACAAATTGACTTTCAAATTGTTTAGTTATCTTGAATAGTCCCCCAGCAATGACCGTTTAAAATCCCGGCATACTTTTTCAGATACCCTCCATATTTACGATTCTTATTTGATCTTCTTTCAGGAAACTTTACATGCTTAGCAGTAGTATTCAACTTAAGAAGACGACTGGGCTATCACCTGTTCCACACATACATTCCTTCGGCTTTAATTGTTGTCATGTCTTGGATATCATTTTGGATCAAACCTGAGGCGATTCCAGCTAGGGTCACTTTGGGAGTAACTTCATTGCTTACATTAGGTATGTATATTATTATGTTACTAATATATGAAAGTACAAACATTGACTTACATAATCTTTATATGATGCCTTGGGACTTTTTGCATCAACTACAGTTACCCCTCCGTCGTTCATCGCCCAGGGACAAAACCCTTGTTCAAAATTCATAGGTCAATCCAGTAAAACCCCCACTAAAACTGCAACTGAAACCCCGATTTACTGATACCATGATACAAATTCAATTCAATTGGAAAATGAACTAGGTAACGGGGACTGTTCTCCGTGACATGAGTAGTTGGTCCGACACAGACAAAGGTTAATAGAGCAGACTATGACAAGGATCTCATACTGTGATATAAAGCTCAGAAAACAACTCTCAATTATTTTAAGTACAGTAATAGGTTTTGTTTATTTAGTCGTAGATTTTAAGATATTAGTAATAAAAATAACATAAAAAATTACTGCTGTACATCTTATGAACTGAAACGGCTGTTAAATTCAAACCAATGACTGACAAAAAAAATAGGTCATTCAAAAAAGCTTTACATCCTTTATTTTGGTTAATCAGAGTTTCACTGTACAAATTGGAGAATATGTTTCAAAACCTCATAGTATGTGTGGATTTAGTAAACAAAGTTTAAAACTCAACAAAAAAGAAATATGGCAATTACATCTGTATTCTGTACAGAGTTACATATCAAGATCAAGACACAACTTTTTGTTTACCTAAACACGGCGGTGCTTATGTGTCATAGGTCTTCTGGGGGGTGTAAAAACATTTGACTATTAAGCAGAAAAAAATAGAATAAAATAATGTTTTTCATTATTTAGTTTATGTTCAGTAGCTTTAAGGTACACGTAAGAAAGTAAAATATAAACTTTTTATGTCACTTTTCAAATAAATTTTTAACTCATATAAAAACTGTGTTTTTCATGTAGTGTTTTTTATATGTTTTAGCAACACAAAACACACAATCACAACAATCCCTACCACCAGTGTCTTACGTGAAGGCTATTGACATTTGGATGTCATCGTGTTCTGTGTTTGTGTTCCTATCTCTGATGGAGTTTGCTGTAGTCAACAACTACATGGGCCCCATCGCAACAAAGGCGATGAAAGGATATTCTGAAGAAGACGTTAGAGGAGGTTTAGACGATCTCAAGGTCAATAACAAAAATATAAACCCTAACAACAGCTGTAGTTCTGTAGTTTGAAAAAACACTCCATATTAATCCAAAGTACTGAATTATTTCGAGAAAAATGTGTGTGATGCGAATGCTATAATGAATCACAATTTAACAAATTACTGTTTTGTCATACAGTATTTTAAGTTTTTCAGGGTTTTCCCCCTTTGAAACCCTACATCTTTCAATGCACAATTTGCCCCTACATAGTGAACAAAATATTTAAACATTTTTAACACATCTTAGGTGTCTAAAAACGTATTAGTCTCTTTACAAGAAGTCTTAACCCTTCCCGGACGAGCAAAATCATGACATAGAAGGGGGAAAAATTATAGGAAAAAACAATAAAATTAATTTTCCTTATTTGTGTTTTGTTATACAAGTATACATAAAATAAACACAATGGAACACTTCATACTGTCAAAATAATTTTTTACTCGTTTTTAACTACCCGTCCGCGGATGAGTAGAAAAGCAGCGGATATATCCGCCACCCGTCTTTGAAGATATGACCATGACAAAGTTAGGCAATAAATAAAGAACAATATCTAAACAATAAATAAAGACAACGTAGTGTTGAGCGCGAAACGTCAAGGGGGGAGCGTAGGAGAGGTGGGTGCTGCGCGGGAAAGGGGGAGTCACGGGAGAGAGGGGGGAGTGCGGGAGAGAGCACAGCCATGGAGAGAGCAGGTAAGTGGCGCCGTGGTACCGCGAAACATCTGGTTACTGCTCAAGCACCTGCCAGTCCGTATGAAGAGAAGGTGGATATATCCGCTTCCTGTACAGAACATCAAAAACCATAAACGGATATATCCGCCACCCGTCCTTTATCACCAAAGAGAAAGACTTGGACAGATATATCGAATGCCTACAAAAGAACATAGCCTCTTGTATGAAAAGTAAATCAGTCCCGCGTTTAGGTATTTCTGTGCCACCTACCTTAATACCTATGGGGAAATTCCCTAAAGATAAAAACAAAAACTTTATAGCAAACCTAAATTACAACGTAAAAATTATAACTTTAAGTTTTAATGTGCAGTAAACAGGCAACAGAAGCTAAAAATACAGCAAAACTAGCTTATGTCCATTTGTGTTCACATCTGTATTGTCAAACAGTAAAAACAGATAATTTCAATAATATAAATAAATTTTAAACAAACTCTAGCGTGCATTACGGAGAACTGATTGAGAGCAAGGGAAAGTAAATTAAGAGCTGATCGTTTTTTCCTGAGGCGTTTCATTCAACACTAAGTTCACCAGTTTAAAACCAACAACCTAGATAATCATTATCTTCATCTACAGTCTTACAGCCGACAACCAAATTTATACCAGAATCAAATTCAAACAACCAAGAGCACATTAATTGTTCATTATCCTTAGCACCATCAATGTAAATAAAATAGTTTTTAATGTGTCCAAATAATAAACCTCTTCTTTTGCATTGTGGCAAACACATATCTTGTCGCTGAAAATGGGAGTGCCAGACCTTCTTGGGAATGCTTGGAAATTGGAGCAAAATCTGCGAGTTTTAACAATTTGTGCGGCTTTTTTGTATCTTGTAAACATTAAACTTTACATTTATTGCTATTTGTGATTCAGACATACCATACCCTTTACTATCTTGCAATAAATGTTATAATTTACTATTAGAATAAGTTTTCTTATTTGTGTGCACGTTTTGGATTGTTAAACTACAGAAATTGTCTAGTTGCTTTGCATAAATGTTGACCATGTAGACAAAAACTAACTAGTTTCAACAGCACCAATTAGAAGCATTAATGACAAATTTCTCTCTCTAAAATTCAAATTGGTTTACTCTTTACAGTAACGGTAAGTAATTTAAATAGCAAACAAATGGTAAACCATACATAATTTCAGTTAGTATAATAAAAAATATTTATTTAAACAACCAAACTCTTTCTAGACAATGAAAACTATGTTTATGGTACATTTTTAAGAGGAAAGCAACTTAAATTATAGTGCTTATAATTTAGCCTTGAAACCACATGTAGACAAGTGGACTGCAATAAAAACATTCTACTATTAAACGGAACCACTTATATTTATATAAAAAAATAACTTCATTGGTTTTTTCTTGGGGCGACTCTTCTACAAATGGTATCATTAGATATTCAAGCCGATCCTGACTCATTGTAGAGCTCAGCTTACTTTTCATAATGGTCAATTTTAAAATGCTTCGTTCACTGGTACTATTACGTATTGTATATGCTGTACTCGATTGAATGCATGCATCGATCTCGTATCATACCGAATTTCCTAAAGACTAACTCTATCAACCATAGGCCTAACAATCAATGATATAGACAGATATTAGAACTAACTTTGTAAAAAAGTCAGGCTATTAAAAGGTTGCCACGGCACTCCCTGTGAATACGCCTATGGTTCCAAAGTTATTTTGCATCCTTACGTTATTGACCAACTGATTAACCCAGTGTTGTTACAAAACAGCTACAGTTAGTGCTCTGATACCTGCCGTTTAGAAACAAACTAAGGAACCAATAAGAGTCGTCAAAACACCTCCCTGCTGGTTGAAAGAAGTTACCATAGCCTTCTCTGTCTTTTTTCTCTACCAAACCAATAATGTATGAAGAGACTTCAACTACCATACTGCTCTGTAAAATAATTAATAAACAGTAAGGTAGTCCTATTAAATTGCGTAACCGAATGTAGAAAAAAAGTGATACCTCGGTTGTTTTGTCATCCGATTTTAACAAACAAGGTCTCATTTGATTTGAATTTATATTCTCTATCTTTTTGATGGTAAGAAGTTTTCTTAATTTGTACGGTTTTCATGAAATTTGGCATTAAAGATTTTAAATAGGTGCCATATTAAAACGGTTTGAGATATTGGAACAAAACTTTGTACACTCTTTTACCTTTTCAAATACACAATTATAATTATACCACTTTTGAAATTTCTATCTTGAAAAATACCCTAGATAAAATCACAAACAGACTGACAAACAGAAATTTAGCCATTTTAGACCCATAGCATTTTATGTTCCTCTTAGCCCAAGGAACAAATCCACAAATATGTCCAGACAATTTGAAAACAACCTTTATATAAAAGTATAAATAATATGATTTTGTTCAGGGTCTTGGCTTGCTTGGATGCACGGCATCCCCCTTCACCACCACATTGCCAGTCTGAGTTATTCCTCCAACTCTAACCCCATGCTATGTTTGCAGGAGCTGAGTCCCTCGATGAGAAGTCCTCTCAGGACCTCAATCCCTCCTCTGCCTCAATATGCCAATATTTGGAACACTAGGCACATCGCACTTTTCATTGACAAATTTTCTAAATTCTTCTTTCCATTTTCTTTTTTTGTTTTTAACGTTGTATATTGGACATCATTTTTATGATGCACTTTTATAGATTCCATTTCGTACCTACATTACATGATAAGCTAATGTATAAACAATAAGTGTTTGCAAGAATGTGAGGTTTTGTGGTGGGGGATATTACGTTTACAAAGACAATTTTTAAGAACTTGAACCCTACATGGTATATAGTATCATGGTAGGATAGAAAATAAATTATATACAAACAAACACAACTAAGTGGTTACATTTTTCATTTTGTTAGGTTAGTTTGTTAAGATTTAGAAACAAGTTTTTTAAACAAGTTGTTTTAAACTAAGTAGTTACATCCTTCTCACATGATAGCATTTTACGGTGATAATATTACCTTTTTAACATCCTGTGTGGTTTTTGTAGAATTTGTTTGGAAAACCCATAACTTTAGAATTAAGGTATTTTTGTTATTATAGTAAATTTTTGCAGTTGACGTTGACACTCTTTTTTTAGTGCTAAAACAAAACAAAATTTACCATTTTACGAAATGAAAAGCCATTTTTTGTGTTGGCAGGAATTGGATCCATCTGGAAGGGGCCCCCCACGGGCATCTATTCTCCCATCTCTACCACAATACCCCACTTTCTGCAATGGTAGGGAAATTGCCCTCTCAATCGATCAATTCTCCAGATTTTTTTTCCCGTTTTCATTTTTTGTTTTGAACATAGTATACTGGACATCGTTTCTCGAGGTGTAAGGGTGTGCTTTTGTAAATAGCCTATACGATGTCTGCTGTAATTTGTGTGCAGTTTTGAATTTTGAAAATTTTGTATGACTTTCTGTTTCTAGAGTATTGTTGTTATGTGTAAGTTGTTCATCAGTAAATGTTGTCAATAAAACAACTTGTTAAACAGCCGACTTAAGTTTTATTTTACACAGATAAGTTTCCCCTTAATGTTAACTGTGATCCCAAGTTGTTTTGTTTTATCACTTGGTGTAGCATTTGACAACCAACTATCAAATTTAAGTTTAAAAGCAATGATGGAGTTTACTGAGCCAATTAATTGATATTTGTGTTTGACTAAATTTATTGTCCACCTTTGTAATATTTAATATTAGTATACTCACTTACTACAAAAAAATGTATCATATGTGAATAAATTAGGCATGATAGAAAATGTATGTTTTATATTGGTTCTCCAGGACAGAAAATGTATAAAACCGATGGTTAAAATCATTAATACCCACAATTTTAGCGTATGGGTATTTTTCACGAGTATCTCAGGTCTTTAACTCAACATATAACCAACAAATGACCATAATTTTTTCTCATTTTGACATGAAAAAAAGGCTACAGGGTGTTTCAAAAAGAATCATCCAATTTTATACGTTTACAATTTCAAACTGATAAAGTCTTTTTACATACCAACAGTACGGTACCCCACCATACTGGAATATTCATGTAAGAGATTTTTTGAATAGTAGGCTTCCTAAAAGATAGATCGCCTGGACCAAACGATTCTGCGTTACGTCAATGGCCTCCAATGTCACCAGACCTTACTGTTTGTAATTTCTTTATGAGGGGGTTTGTAAAAGACACTGTCTATATCCTTCTAACAACATTGGTTAAACTGAAGAACCACACTAGAGCAGTTGGAATTCATCACTCAAGACATGCTAACTATGGTGTTGGACAAATTCCAGTATCGCGTTGACATAAGATGAACATCTAAAGGGGGTCAATATATATATTGAGCATTTAAATAGTATGTAAAAAACTTTATGAGATATAATTTAATATAAAAATAACTTCATGTCCGTATGATCATTAGTTTTAAAATTATAAACCTAAACACCCTGTACAATAAACTAGGCCTACGCAAAACACTCTTAATGTTTATACTTTTTTATAAATACCCAAACTTAAGGGTATTTACGCAGGCCTGGAGTAAATACCCGGGTATACTTTTGTTGAAATTTTAGTTTTTAAGGGGAGAAACATTAAACTAAAGGTTTTGAGTATTTGATTTAGTAATAATGAGCAGTAAAGATGAATGTTGTTGAATGTTATATTTATGATCTTGTTTTGTATTGAAACATCTGCCACAAAATTTGGATTTTTACTTAACATAAATTTAAAATGATGATTCTTCAATGTGTTAGGAATTCATGTTATGTACCAATAAAAAAAAAACAATATAATTACGAAAGATGTTCATGTTAGAGGGATAAAGGTAGTATTATAATTTTCTGTGAACTACAAATTTCTACTGATATTTAGTACCTTCTTCCAAAGTAATGCTATACTAGGATCTTCACACAGGTAAAATAACAACTATTGGTGTATTTAAACAAAATTTCTTTAATAATTGATTGTATTCAATATACTATTTCAATAAATCATAAATTGAGTTACTAACAGAGCAGTATTTAAAATAATATATGTCATTTATTGTTACGCTATATGACACCCAAAATCATCAACAGTACATAAATGCAAGTATGACTTTAACTGTAGGAACATGGTTCCGCATGCTGAACGACAATGTTAAAATCAAGTTTTAGAAACTATAACTTAAAATACATGTATATTACATCACTCTGATGATTTTAAATCATGGATGATTAAAAAATAAATATTTATATGATCTGAGACAGTAAAAAGCTGATTAATAAATATACTATTAAAACTAACATATAAATGTATAATATAAATAATGCAATTGAAAGCAAATAATATAATCCGTTGTAATCACCAGGATTAATTAAATTGATTCAGTCTTTGGAAATTGCTGCTCAAGTAAAATAATGTAAGTACATGTTACACTTCGTAATTGGTACCATGGATTAAACATATTCCTTTACAAATTCATTATTCTTATGGGTCAGCTGAATACAATTATTATGTTCCGTCAGGTTCCTGTAGAGGATGTGTTTTTGTTTACTGTTTGATTCTTGTTATTTCACTCATTTCAACACTAGTTTGACCAAATGAAACAATCTAATTATAAACAAAAGATCCTTTGCTGGTTTTATAATCAAACAATAAAGCACAAATAAGAGAAAAGACATTTTGTCGATACTAGCCCTCAACATCCCAACCATGAAACATAAAACCAAGCTCCAGATTTTATAAAAGGATCAGAAGTCTACTTGTACTGTTCTAAATCAACATTAGGACCTAAACTACAATTACAAACTGATGATTGTTATTATATATTGTACATTTACAGTAATTAAATGCACAGTAGTTGCTTGAGCAGCAAAGACCAAAACGAGAATTCAGCTTCACAAACAATTATTTCCATCAATAAACTCTGGATAAAAAAAATTAAATATATAAAATACAGAAACAATCGATCAAGAACCTCTCTTAAAATCAGTAAGACTGCATACCTCGAATTAATAATAAATTAAAAATAAAAGTTAATTACATCTTTAAAGTTCACTCGATTAGTTAAAATTCAAAAATCTTAGATTCTGAAACAATTAAAAAAGATGAGAGAAAACTAGATAGGCAAGAAGAGTGATCCGAGTTCACACGGTGACACGGTTGAACGATGCCAGTGAACACAGCGGTTCTATCCTTTAGAATCGTATATTAAATAAATAATTGCCAAATGACCGAAAAGGCGAGTCCATCAGCCACGGCGATTAACAGAATAAATTTCAACAACAACCTCCACCAGCCAGTAACACTAGACACTTTAAAGTCTAACAACGTACACTCAGCGCCAGACGATAACAAGCAGTCCAACAAAGCGGAATATAAATGAGCGTCGCACTCCAAATGATAAACGAGATAAAAGATTATTGAACGTAACAAGATTAACATAAGATGAAGAGATTAACTGAAGAAGTTACCGAATATGGGGGTCACTGACTCTTGAGCTCCTTGCCGATGCTGTAGCTGACGATTTTGTTCCAATCGATCTTGGTCCGTGTGACGGGCAACTGACGTCGTAGGGCCTTGAACGTCGTGTCGCTCATTGTCTGGTAATTGTCAGAAATGGCTTTCTGATAACTGCTTTCCGTCTCTTCTATTAGCTTCACTAGGTCCTTAGCGGTTTGTTCTTCGCTCTGGAAAGATTAGGGATGTGATAAATGTGATTCTCGATAAATATACCAGAAAAATCTAATCCCGATTCTCAATACCGATACCACTTTTTAAGGTTTTATATAACATTTTCTGGATGGATTGGTTATACTGTACCAATCCCTGTCTTTATCTTCCATAAAGTATTTTTGAGGTAATGGGATGTTTTTCAAGAAAAGAACAAATTAATGCGGCAATTAAAATTTAAACTTGCAAATTTCAGTTTAAACCCTTCAAAACACTTGAAATAAATAACACATCAAAGGTAAATGAAGATCTGACAACAACAAAATAAAAATACCCCCGCCGCAGCAAACCTGCAGACTAAGCGAATTTCAACTTGTAAGTCTGATTACATTTTTACTCAAATATTTCCATAAATAAGACATATTTATTCATTATTTAAATAACATTAGATTTAACGAGTGCTTACGTTTGCTGCTACGGGGAAGGTAAAAAGTGTTTTTTGACCATACCTTAATAGTACTGTATAGGATGAAATAAATAAATTTGCCAAATTGTATCAATATATATCCATAAACAAGTAAACTACAACAGTTTTCATTTTCTCCATAAGAATAACATGGGAATTTCAAATTACACTATTTTTGAATTTTCTCCGTGACCGTTAGGCATACAAAAGCGCTTCAATATACTAAATTATTTCTTTTTTTAGATCTACAAAACGGTTTCAAAAGAAATTGCAAAAGTTTTTGTTTTTAGGGTCAAAAATGGGAAAACCCCATTTTTACCCCATAAAAGCCACCATAAACCCCCGTTCCCATGGTCCGATTATGCTGGTTCGCGAACTCGTTCGAATAAATGTAGGTTTACACGTTTGTACCAAATTTCATCAAAATCGGATCATTTTTTCTCGAGTTATCGTGCTAACGGACACATATATAAATAAATAAATATATATATATGAATTTGAATGGATGGTGTTTTGGCCTCTAGGGACCTCAAAACAAAAAAGTAAATCGGTTCCGGGTCCAGGTCTTACCATGAGTACTACGGTAATAGCTTATTCCCTATATGGGAAATTCGCTAATATTCCCTATATGGGAAATTCGCTAAAAAATGTTATTATAACTAGAGGTGTGCCAGCCTAATATTTTCATGTAGAGATCAAACATGTAGAGGTCATCAAATTATTCCACGATCGGGGCAAAATTCTTATAATCTTCCACGGTCCTGCAGACATCATCATCGTCTCCCGTGGACATATAGACCTTATCATCGTCCTCCCCGATCACAGAAACATTCCGATCATCTCCCACAGCCGTGTAGACATCACCATCGACTGCTGTGGTAAAGAAAAAACGTCATCATCGCCTTGTGCGATCGCGCGAATATCATGAACATATCTTACGGTTACCGGTATGTAAACATTATTATTGTCTTACGGTCACAAAACGTCATTGTCTTACGTGATCGCGGCAATATCGGTAATTTTCTAACTGCGCGATCTTCGCAGACATCTCGGGTATTGGAATTGACTTAATCAATTCTTGATTCTGTACCAATGTCCAAGTATCTGTGGCATCGAGATTCGGTAACAAGAATCGACACATCCCTAGTTTTAATGAAATCATATACTTAGCGCATGACATCAATTCCCTTTTTAAAAAACTCTGAAATATCCCTGACTTAAGCCCTTAAATGCTTAAGTCCGCTCTTAAAAACCTGTATAACCAAAACAATATACACAGAGTTTGTATGGGTTTTATCTTAAACAAACTGGATCCAGCTTTTTAATCCAAGTCAGCGTGCTCCTTCTGGAATGCAAAGATGAAACAACCCACCTGGTAAGGCTTATGAATTAAAGTTAGCTATCAAATAAATTATCCTTTGCCTGGATTTAAACCCCCCAGTCATATGACTGAATTTTATTTTATCGCAAGTATGTTACAAGTAAAGGTAAAGTATTCAGCTATGTCATTGTTTTTACTTTTTGCATTGACCTAAATAGCAATTATTGGTATTAATCAATCTTAGCACACTTCTAGTCAACACCATCAGTTTGTAGGTATACAAAATCAATATTTATATTTCAACACACAACTAAAATTTTGAAATATTGTTAACTCAAATACTCACAGAAACTCCAAGGACTTCTTTTATGTCTTTCGAACTAACAAGTTGGACATTTCCATCTTCATAGTAGTGGACTTGGACCTTCAAAATGCCTCTGACCTCTGCGGAACCATTGTTGATTGTGACGATCCATTGGGACCTCCATCGCCCATTCCTAAACATAACAGTTGGAATATGTCAAGAAATGGAACAACAGTTATAAACCCCACCAATGCAAATATCTTGAACTTTTACCCCAAGCTATGTCTGGGTTATAAAATATATAGCCTAGTAGGTTGTCAAAACGAGTATAATTTTTATGTCAAAATGAGAACAACTCATAAATAACTAAAAATCATTATGGGGCTAAACAATTTTTTGTATTAAACACATCCAGGATATTTTAGGTTATTTTATCCACAGATACATATTTTATCAATAAATTTATTTAATATTGAAAATCCAATTCTCACATACATTTGACTGTACTTTGAGACTGTGAATATCTAAACATAAACTACTTGTCCCATTCATAGAAGAAAAATTAGCACATGTATACTGAGGATTGCAACATAACAACTTTTTGCTTCATAAACCTCATATTAAACAAAGTTGTACTTTATCTCCAAAAATAAAAAAAATATAGATCTAGAAATGTTGAGTTTAGTATCTACGCTTCCCGTTCTACAACTTCTCCCATTAACTTTGCTGTAACGTTTCATACAGTATGCTCCTAAGAAACAACCTATAGTTTACAAATTTGCAAAAGTAAAACATACCAGTAGTTTTTGGGCTGGAATTGGTGATCTTCTATACAAGCAGTCAACACGATGGCTGAACCTTGTCTCTTGGCAAAGACGCTAGAGGTGCCATTTTTGTAGTGATTGCTAGTGTACTCGTCTAACTCTTCCTCCAACGGAGATCTCCAAGGTTCTGTGCCAGGCTCGGGTTCCCAAGGCTGTTAACAAAACAAACACTTGTGCTTGGAATACGAGTAGGGAAATAGTAGTATAAAACACACTTATTTTAATGACAGTCTCTTTTAATCTTACATTTCTTCCCAGGGGATCTTCCCTTCTTGGCATGTTGGTTAAGATCAAAGTGTAGCATCTTTTAATTATACAACAAACTGGTTTGAAAATTTTACTAGACACTAACACTTGACAAAATTGTCTTGTTTTCAGAGTTTGTTGAGCTAACAACTGCACCACCGATTCACAATCAATGGTTTGTTAATTAAAAGAGCCTACTAAAATGTTGACAACAGAGATATTTATTGGTTATTCTAGCTTTGAAGGAAAAGTAATACAAACCCCCGTGAGGGCATCCTATCTCGGAGTGAAATAACATAAACTTTACTCTCGAAAAACATTCCTAGGGCACTCATACTTAATTTTGCTCATACTCATACCATCAGCTTTCAAATGGAAAGCTTTCTGGAACTTCAGCCAAAAACTAAATCTTAAGATGACACACAAGGAACATAAGTTTCTAATCTGTAATTTCCTAGCGCAATAACTGCTTTTCTATTACAATTTATTAATTTCCAATATCACGATAGTATTACAATACTAACCTCATAGTCGCCAGCGTCCTTTCTCAGATGATCGTATTTGAAAGACCGTTTGGAGCGAGCATCGAAGAACCGACAGCCTCCAAGGTCATTGTATTCTGTTATCAGGACTTGATGAACACTATTTTCGATTTTTACAGGTGTCAGTTGGTCCTTGTTATACTGAGAAAATGCCCTGTAGAATAAGATGAAGATTTTGCTTTATTATGGTTGAGTAAATTATGGTGTCAAAAATTAAAATAGCACACTCTCAATTATAGCAAACTTTGCTGCTTCACCCCGTAATGTCCACATTGAACAAGAAAGGATCAAGATTGAAGGATTAGAGTAGCCCGCACTGAACGTGTTAAGGGGCACAGTATAATAAGTGTGTGTGAAAAATTATGAATGAGAGTAGAGATGATTAAATTAAAACTACTCTAAACAAAATCAAAGTATCCTAACGTTTCATAAACAACAATACTATAGACATATCCTGTTTCATCAAACTTATAATTTAACAATTCAAAGATTTAAAAGGAACATAAAGTAAAGGCTCTGCAAGGGAAGTGGTTACTTTTGGCCTTATCCAACATGATGCAATAACGTTATATGTAAGATTGTCACGATATATTAAAAATGTACTGTTTAAAGATTCTATAAAATAATGGCACAATTTATGAGATCTAACACATGTCTATATTTTGTACACAAGCATTTCATTCATTGACTTACCCTGAAGCTCCTTCTTTTAATAGGACATCATTGTTGAGAAGTGCTCTTACATCTAGAAAATAATAATCACAGGTTACAAGTTACTCTAGGGTTAATCTATCAATAAGACTATTTTAGCAAACATTTCATCTGTTTAAGGTGAGGTTTTCATAGGTATTTAAGTTTAAATGTAAATTAGTTACCTTCTGTTCTGAGGTTCTAAAGACTAATAGGATAATCAAACCTAATATCTTTACTTTAAGTATTAATGTATGAAAGAAGGGATGAAATATGGGATTTATTTTACCTCGGCTATGAACATATCCGTGCCATGCATCGAACATACAAATCAAAACATAGGGAAAACCAGTATAGTAAGAATGAACTGTGTTTATGAATTTTAAGTGGCAGAACAAGAGAGAAACCCACAACATCACAACCGTGGTTCTACATCACTACTTTTTAGTAAATTATACTTGGGAATTATTTCAAACAACGGTAAATGTTCCCTTGTTTGTCTTTTTTTCATTTAAACTAAACTGTAATAAGATAACGGAAGTTATTTTAAATAGCACAGCGCATTGTAAAAGAGTAGTGATAGATACCTGGGAAGTTTTCAAAAGTGTAAGATTTATTTTTTACCATCCCATATAAATTACTCTTCGAGTTGTCACTTTGCTTATACAGTAATAAGAAACAACCATTAACTGACTCCATAGAAATTACAATACATTTTAAGACCTACCATTAAAAACTTCATTGAATTCTCCAGGTGGTGAATGGAGTATAAAATCTGAGACTATGCGAACCTGCAATAGATAAATAGAATTACAAACATTTCAAAAGCAAAAAGGTACCTTTAAAATCACTGAGACATAATTTAGCCGATTGGGAAAACTGTATAGTTTTAAACAATTGTCATGAATTAAATTACAACTTGTAAACTTACAACTCTAATAGCATATGATCAAGGGCTACACCCATTTAAGTATTATTGAAACCGTACATTAAAGAGTTTCAACAGTATAAAGAAAGAAGAATCAAATTATTTAATTTATTTGAAGATTTAACGACTCTTTTACTGTCTTTAAATAAGACAATGGTATCATCGACATACCTATTGCAAGGTAATTTTGCATTATATTTACCTATTCTTGTTTAATAAAATGATTCATTTTCAATGTTGAAATGTATGTCGAAAAATGCCGGAGAGCGAGGAGCCCATGGCAGTGAAAATGAGTTAGATCTTTAACTAACCCATCCCAACAAAAAAGCACAAGACAAAAGTTGACGTTAGAAACTAAAGAAGACAATGGAATATTTTTTACATTTAATGTTAACTAAAATGAACAATAGATTTAATCATGAAATATACAGGAAATCTACTTTTTCAGTCCAAACTATTCAAACAACCTCATCATCCTTAAACTCACAAAACATTGCAGCTTTCAAATCTGTAAATAGACCTTTAACAGTCCCTTTAAGTCACACAAATTATACAATAACATCAAGCATAGCAATATGAAACGCCTGCAATAGCAAGCTTGTATACAAACTCATAGCAAAACATCATAGCAGGCCAACTAAAGGATGATCATAAGATGTAAGTTTGTGTTGAATATTTCTACAGTTATAAATTTGTCTATCCAAGAGTTTAGTATACGGTACAGGTAATTGAATTTGCATTCAAAACTACAAATTATACCCGAAAAACTCACAACTAAACGGTCCAGAGATCAACTTGAAAAAACAGGTGTTAACAAAATCAATTCTCAGGACTGTCCGAGCCTGTATGTGGAACAAACAGGTCGTGGATTTGTTAGGCCTACTTGTTATGAAGAACATATAGGCTACACAAACCAAGATCAACTAAACAAAACATTTGCCCAACACTTAAATGATAAAACCAGCCTATAATGTGAGGTGCCTAAAATTACTGATTGTCTAGAGGTGATACATGTATGCAGTAAAGGTAGGCCTAGTAAATTCAAAACATTTGTGGAATTCAAGATCTACAAATTGTACCACAACAACACCAATGGACATATTTTTCAAGAAAATCCGCAGTTCCAGTCATTCTCTATTCTCACTGTTTTAATAAACCTAAGTAACCTGTCACCTGACCTCACTGATAACGAGGATAACAATGAGAAAGGAGTCTGATGCTGCAGTCGACTACCTGCGCCTGGACTGCTGATGACACGTAATAAGTCTATCTGTGTTAAATTTTTTTTGTTTTTATGTATGTTTATTTTGTTGTATTTGTTCACTAAATATGTCAAGCTTTTTGTGTACCGGTATTGACAATGAAACAGGACTAGGAAAATTTACGCCTAAAATCAATTTTGATTACTTGACGAGGTAAATTTACCTCTAATTAGATAGTCCACCATTACATTAGAAACAGATATCTAAGGGCAGGTGATAAGTAAATGTGGTATAACAATTTTTAAAAAACTTCTGGATCAGCATTTTACATATTATGTAATTTACGAGTGTAAAAAAAATCTAGTAAACATATATTTACACTTATACTTTTAACTCACAAGACGGTAAATACATATAAAAAAATCTAACAATAGGTTCCACCAATATGCAGCTACTAGTTACTAGATTGGGATTCACCTATCGGGTCTGATGATGATTGGAGTTTCCAATTGAAATCGATAGTACCTTATCCGAAATTATCTTATCGGTGCTATCTATCCACTTACTATATTTTATATGCATTATAGTCTTGTGGGTGAACAGTATTTAAGTGTAAATCTGTGTTTTAAGTGATAGACATATTTTTATGTACTTTAGATATAAAAATCAATCATGGCATAGTACAGTTGTTAGCCTAAGCAGTTAATTGCATTATCTTAGCCACCCAGCCGAGAGCCCATTAAAAAATGACACAACTCAATCTAAAACCTGCCAAGTCAGCAATTAAGAGTCTTCACCGTCCCTCTGACAAAACAGTAAAACCATGTCTTTGAAAAAGCTGTTTCTAGTTCAATATTAGTAGAGTACATTTAACAACAAAAGAAGCCTATTCTTGTCACGTAACCTGTCTTTACATCTCTCTGACCTTCTACCATATTCCCTTATTATATGGGACTAATTGGGGTTCCAAGTTAATCAGATTAATTAAAGTACCTGAAGATTAACGTAAAAAAAAATGCTTTTGTCATAACATACTAGACCTGGGGCCAGAAACATAGATTTTGAACGTGATATAGGTAGCTAGCAGTAGACTAGTCTAAATTGCATCTTCAGTCTAGTATTTTCTGACTTAACAAGTTATATTGAGAACATAGCCTAGTTCAAAAATATACACCAACCTAACGTTGAGAAAAAATATAGCTATATATAGGCAAACTAAGTAATCATTTGAGTTTTAATACATCTAAATCGAGTATTATTATCAATTGTTTTGATTCCATTCTAGGCCAAACACTATCGTCACATATTTTGTTAACTTTAATCTAACATAAATTAGGCTAAGTTATTTATTTATATTTTTTTCCATATAAAAGGTTAGCCTAGTATTCTTGAACAGGCCTGTACAATTCCAATAAAACAACGTTTTTCCTTTTTATAAGTTAAGTTACATGATTCCTTCAGACCTAGTCCTAATAATTGAAATATAATATAATAATTTGAAAACCGGCTTATGGTAGCCTTATCGGTAATAATTTACAGCACACACGTCACCTAAATTATGATTATTGAAGTATGAAATTGTATAAAAAATATATTAACTTAATATATAAAAAATATTGAATTACAAGAGGGAAATAGGTTAATCTGTAAAAGAATAAAAGAGGCAAAAAATGAATTAGGCTAAAAATAACCTTACCTGACCAAACTTCCTCCAATACTTTATGAACAATTCCAAACTCTAAGGCAAAAGTAATAAAATGATAAAAAAGGATCTGAAAATGCAAACCAACTAACTTTGACCAAAAAGTACTAATTTCAAGACAATCATTATTACAATAATGATGTACTATGTCCGCCATTGTACTATGTCCACCATTTCTAGTCCCAAACTGAAAACTGACTAGAAGTGGCCCAGCAACAACAAGTAGACAATGAAATTGCAGAGACCAATAACAATGCTCTATTTTAGAAATGTGACTTTAGAGTCACATATCCTGAGGAATTTGTTTTGTTTTGTAAAATATCCCTCACTTCCATAAAGACCCCAATCCATCCCTCTTTCAATAATATAATTACTGTAGGATTACACTTTCCATTCTAACCGATAGGAAATTCAGTTGGTATTAACTCAATTTTTCCATTTTAGAGAAAACTTCCATTTTCTAGATAGTGTTTACCACCATCCCATTTAAACAAATTATTCCATATTCTCACAAATTACCCTTCACCCCAATAGGTTAGCCTTTTCTCCTGCCAATTACCTATCTCGTAATTTACCCCCCAAAACCCCCATTCCTACTGTATTCCAACGTCAGTTGTAAGGTATGCTTATTTGTTTCAGTTTATTATTAATTAAATTAAGTCTTTCCACAGTAAAATCGTTCAGAACGATAAAGTTTAACTTCCAGACGACATATAATATCATATAGTATAAAGGGTTTCATATAGGTAGTTTTAAAGTGTTTTTATATCATTTGGACATCATAAATAAATACCGGTACTGTCTAATCACAGGCTGCAAATGTATTTAACACATAAGTTAGTGCCTATGCCATTATTCTTTTGAAATATTGAATTCTTAAAAAATTTAAATGGTTTCAGTAGGTACTGTACAGGTTATTTACTTAGGCTTAGGCCTAAAATGAAGTTGGTTCCTTGCCATTTCATGTGACTGAAAGTTAGAACCTACAAAATATTTAACTTAGAAGTTAATTAGCCTGTAGAAAAGTTAGCCGCCATGCCCACATGCTGTAACATAACATCCCATCTATATAGGCTGTGATAAATATAAAGATTAGGCTATGGCAATAAATTCAAGATAGGCTTACTCAAGAATTTTTATTCATCATAGGCTTGGCACTATGTTCAATAACTACATACATTAAGACGTTTATACACCAAGGTCTGCAACTATGTTTTCCACTAGATACGGCAATTAACTTAGTTGCTTTTTTTACAAAATACTGCAACTTTTTCTATTCCCCAATAAAATAGTGGTACGAAATCCACTAAATCAATTTTGATTTCCCACAGAGTGTCGGTAAAGATCAACTTTTGGCTTTCTTGGCCCGAGGACTTTCATCAAGCCATGAAAGCCCTGGGAGAGAACAACAAGGTTATCCTTAGTTGGGTTCCAGGACACAAAGATATTGCTGGCGATTAGGGAGCTGACAAGTGGGCAAACAAAGGAGCAGAAAGCCAACTTTCATCATGCTCATGGGTCCAGAGACAACGTGTGGTTTAGCTTACAAAACAGCACTGAGAGCTGTTGGCCAGTGGATGGGCAAAGAACATCGAAGGAGCTGGGAAAGAACAGAAGACAACATACAGTCAAAGAGAATGCTGCAGACACCTACCGGTGCGATAGCGGCATATGCCCTTGGGCTGAATAGGAAGACCCTGCGGAAGGTGGTTGGCTTCATCAGCGGCCATTGGGTATTCCGCGGACATCTACCACTACACAAGATGGGAATTCAAGTTGAAAGCCTCTTATGTAGGAAATGGTGAGGAGGAGACAGCCACATGATATTTATGTGTCCAGCCCTACAAGGTCTGCGTATGATATCCCTTGGCCTATTAATTGGAGATCAAAGGGAAGAACTCGTTACCATAGTCAAAAGGATCTCATGGTTCACCAAGGACCTGCGATTTGACGGAGAATGAGAACCTGTGGAAGAGGGTGCAAAATAAGCTGTTCCAGCTGCGATGCAATCCCATGGTAACTTGTATGCCAGGCCCTCTGTTAAATAAAAAAAAATAAAGTTGACGGCTAAAAGTTGAAGATACGCGTAGCGCAAACAACTTGTAGAAAACTAGTGGAAAACTATTCACCCACCAAGTATCTCGGCCGTAACAACAGGCAGTAGCATGCCATGGCCAGCCATGCTCTACAAAAACCTTCTGCTAGAGCTCGTGCGTTTCCTGGTGAAACCTGGGGGTAGGGTTGAAGCCCCTACAAAACCGGTTCTGTACCGTACCTCCCAGGCTTCACCAAGAAACGCACAAGCTCTACTTAGTTGCTCAAATTTGTTAAGAGATACGTTTAAGTTAAGTTAGTTGTAAACTTTTAGTTCCGTTGTAAACTTTAGGTTGTGTTTAGTTGTAAACTTTGGTGTAAATGCGCCTTGTGGGCCTACGTGCAAAAACAGGCAACTTGCCAAGTTTGTAAATCACAGATTACAGTAATTCCATTGCTTAATAAGTTAATTTAGAGATAAGTTAAGCAAGTAGGAAAATTATGTAATATATATGTTTGTTATGTGTCAAAACTTAAACCTGTGACTGGTTTTAGGCAGACAGGCTAGCGACAAGCTAATAAGAATTGGTCAGATTGATCCAAAATAGGCCTAGGCTAGGCCTATCAGATGTCAATTTTAGGGTAATAAACAGATATGGCTTCGGTAGCTTTACCTCAAAATTTTGATAAATTAGTATGTTTTTAGACTGTTTTATACCTAATAAGAATAAGAAAATTCTAAAATTAACATAGGCCTAAAAAGTTGTGTTGAGGGTAATTCAAAAAGAGAGGTTATCCCGATCTGGTGCATGACAAACAAGGACCTTTAGAACATAAACTAGGATGCTAATGATAAATAAACTAAAAAAATAGCAACGGCAATCAGTTTTAATTAATAATATACTAGGTAAAGACTGAAATACATAATTTGCGGAGAACATGAACTTGTTTGGGCGATGACACATAAACAGAAATGACTCACTCTGTAAAGCGAGGAAACAAAAGTACAACCAACCATTTTAACAAAACGAATGAACAGTAGTTTTAGTAAAGGTTAAAAGAGTATTCACAAATATTTACCTTTTCTTGATCTGTTATTAATTCATCTCCATCCGCAGCCATTTTTACCTAAAAACAAACACTAAAACCTAAAACAGGCTATGCACTTGCACTAGGGCTAGGAATTCAACCAATTATTATTAAGAAGACATTTATCCAGGCCAGGCCAGAAAATGACCAATGAACGAGTACGTGGGATCTACATAGAGTATAATATAAGGTATAAGCAATGATCATTAGGATTACCTTACGTAGACATAAAAATATGTATCATTTTAATTTCATATTTATAGAAAATTATTTAACTTCTAGGAACTTGGTCTAGAAATAATTTTAATTTATTTACTAGTACAATCCAACATCATAGGATAAATATACGAACCTTACACGAATTTATCTCATTAATTTAGTGTTAATGTTACCGTTGATTAAACATCTCAGGTCGATACTTGCCTTTATTTGGAGATGTATAATCATAGATAAAACGTACTCCCTTAGTAATAGTAGTTAGTAGATTCCCCATCATTTGGAATCACTGAGCTATAATTCTAACTCAGTGTTATAATTTTAGCTCAGTGTTTGGAATAGCTGAAGCCAATTTTATTGTTAGTTATGTCTGGTGCACTTTAGAGGTTACCTATGTTTTGTTTACAATTTGTTTCTTGTTATTTAAGTTATTTAAAACCTCGTTTCACCAAACAAAGTGATCCAATCATAAATAATGACTCGTCACCTTGTTATATAAACAAACAGTAAAGTACAAATCATAAAATTAACCCTAAAATAATAGAGTCAAAATGTCGTCGACCCTAGCGATAAGTGCGTTACCGGACATGAACTAGACACTAAAAAAAGCTTCTAAATTTACAATGGGATGAGAAGTCTACTTTGTTGGTTAGTCCATGGTATAATCAACGATAGCGCTGCATAGCTAAATATTGAGCTGTCAAAATTTTAAGTATAATTTAGACTCATCACGATTCAAAATGTTATTGAGACTTTCGGTCATTGACAATTATTAGCCAAGTCACAAAAACTAACAAAACAGAGAAGCATGCGCTCCTGACTCACACTAAAGTCCAAGCAAAAAGTCCAAAGAGCACATTTTGCAAAACTAGATAAAACAAAAATATAACATGCAAAGGGGGAAGGAAAAATGTAAAATGTAATGCAAAACAGGAAAAAGGCAAAATGGAAAACTTAAAAACCACACTCATACCTTTAGGTAGGGTTTAATTCTTTTCTTTATTTTTTTTCTTGATTGTGTGATAATCTGAAATACAAAACTCCTGCAAGGAGTAAAATGGGTTTGCCACACCAAACAATTTTTTACTCATTTCGCTAATCTTTTGCAGGCCTTCTTTTTAATAGCAGTGGGTATTGTGTAAAAAAACGTTATACCTGCAACAGGAATAGAATTTAAAGTTTTGGTTAGCCTAACACTATGCCTATGGGGAGCGAGCTGGTGTAGTGGTTAGAGCGTGGGATTTCAGTCCCTGAGGTCCCGGGTTCGATCCCCGCCAAGTCACCAATGGATTTGATCTAAGTGATGATGCCGCAACCCCTAGGTCTAGCCTGAAGTAATGTGAAAAACAATTCCAGGCTCGTGCCTAGCGTCCTAGGACAAAAAAAAAACCCCTATGCCTATGTACCTTAGAAGAGATCCTATAGCTGCATGGCTATGAACACTACTCTTCAGAGAAATTGTGTTTACTTGATCCCCAATAAACATTCAGGATTATATACAGACATTATACAGTTTTCCTTCAGCGAGGGTTTGCAATACCCAAGCTGTTGGGCTCCACAGAGGACCCTGACATCCTTTTTTGCACAAGTAGAACTTGCCTTTTGGACAGCAGGTGCAAGTCCCCGATTGCTAGTAGTACTATAGAGTAGGTGGGGTTGGAAGAAAGCCATGCAAACAAGTCGAACGTATTAGCTTTTAAACGTTAAAGTAGGAATATATTACTCTGAAACAAATTATTTCAATATGATTTGTCCAATGCAGCTGTGGGTCAAGTACAATGTCCAGCAGCTTAGCAGGCCGATTAAGAGCATTTAGTCTTTGACAAACTAAAAAGTGATGGTTTATGTTTTTGCTTCATTGTGAAGCCTCTGAACCAGACAAAGCTGTTTCCAGTAACTGCTAGACTGCAGCCCTGGAAACACAAAAAGAAATGTCAGGGCCGTCGCATGAGGGCCGCTGGCAGGGGGGGGGGAGCTCGGAAGCAGCGCCAAGTTTATTCTCAAAGTCCAACGAGTTCGCCAATGGAAACGATAATGAAATGTATTGCATGCATGAACAAAATGCTACAGCCCTCAATGCTGTAGATCAATCTAGATTTTTTCTTATGAGTATTTGACAATCACGCCCTGCTTTATAATGTAACATGATAATTTGGATAATCTCCAGACACAATACTCACTCTGACTTGTTCTTGCTATCTTGCTACGCATTCCCGATCAGAGGACAAGTTATAGTGTTTCACCCACACAGCACAGAATATCCCACACGGTTCCCAAAACGTCCCAAAATCCCATGGGATATAGGAATAACCCTGGGATATGCCCGTTGCAGTAATGAATTTAAATTTTTTGAGGGTTTTTGATTGATGAACGGGAATATCTTTGGCATATCCCTCAAATATCCACGATATCCTTTTTATCATAATTTGTAAAATCCACTAAGAATTCAAGAGTTTCTCGAGATATGCTACGGAATACACTGCTGGTAATCTTTATATTTTTTTTCAAACGATAATGTTTATTACGTCTTAGTATGGTAAATATATTGGTTCTTATGCTGAGAAGATCCGTGGAAGATCACCTGGGAAATCCCTGGGACTATCCCACACAGCACAGGATATTCCAAGGATCTCCTGACCAGTTCACACATATCCCACACAGAGATTCCAGGATTTGAGAATGTCCCTAGGATCACTGTAGGATATTGCGCATATCCCACACCAAAAAATGTATTTTGGGGATTTCCTTGGGACTTCCTATGGATATTCTCAGTCGGTAGGCTACCTCAAAACATATTTTATAGTATTGGATGTATTTTTTCAAGTGACAAGTGCTTGAGAAACGCAATTAAAAACGATTTTAATCTTATTTCAAACTAACAATAACATTGCCAATGCGATTTATAAAAATTAATCAAGTTTTCTGATCATATCCATAGGACATCCCTTGGAGATCTGTAGGAATTCCCCGTGGGACAGAGCTTCGCAGAATAATTATACAATTCAAATTATTAACCTTTTTATAATTATAATACACCTGCTTATAATAATAATACTAATAATAATAATGCATAAATATATTTTTTTAACTAAAATTCTTTAACTTATTTGAGAAAATTTTATTTGTTGAACAATTTAAGGGGAAATATTAATTAATCATATAACAATTATAATAACATTACTAATGGTAATTGATTAATCTATGTTTAAATACCAGTATACTCTTCAACTCCCAGAAAAAAATTCAACAACTTTATGCCTAAACAGAATCATAGCATCAAAAATATTTAAGTATTGCGACCATTGCAGCTGTCGGCTCCTCTTTAACAGCTTGAAAACTTATAATATCAACAACCACAGATAGCTCAGAGGTAAGGTAAGAGGATCATTACCTGAGGGTATCAGGTTCGAGACCTGTCTAGGGAAAAAAATTTTGACCTATTTTTTTTAAATTTGTTTTTATGAACTATTTAATCAAAATACTCAACTGATAAATGTGCTTTTCAGATTAAATCTTTATTATTTTGTGTTTTTATGTATTTTTTTTTTTTATGATTCCTGATGGGATATCCCAGGGATCAGGATTTGGGTGGACATAAGGAATAGGGATATCCCAGGAAACTCTGAGGACTTTGAGGGATTTACAGAGGATATCCCCAATATCCCACTGAGATATCCCCAAGACTTTCCAAGGATATTCTTGTATTGCGTGGGTCATTGATAAAATATTTGTGTTCCCAGTAAAAAAAAACCTATTAATCAATATTTACCTTGATTTACTTTCCTTTTTTTTGAGTCAATGTAAGTTGAGACCTGTGCACACTTTGCCACGTGGTGTAGCATCTTCACGGTCTTCATTCACATAAAATTATGATTCCCACATGTTGAAACGTGTATTGGTTACCACCTACAGGTTACCTACAGTTACTCAAGAACAAAAGGCAACCATTAAGGTAAATATTGTTCCACTGAATAAATCTGTATTAACAGCATTGACTATTTTATACTGAAGCAGACATACAATCTATATAGACCATCTGTACCAAATTTTTTATTGTAAAAAAATAACATAGTTCTATGAGCCAGTAACAGAATGGACTAGTATCTGAAATTATATATTGTTTCTGATCAAGTTGATTACAGTTGATAACAGGTGCTATAGCTCACAATACCATAAGTAGTTCTATTAGTTTGACTTGGTAAAAAAGTTTGTGTACCTATCTGACAGAACTTAGTAATGTAGATCAGCACAATCTGTCGGAGGCTAACATCAACTACAACGATTTTGATTAAAATTAAGAAAAACTGGTGACAACTCCATGGGGATGGGATGTCTAGTTGTATCAATTGTCAGAGATTAACAGCATGTTGTGTGTGGGATTCTTTACTTTATCCTATGAAATAAAAAAAAAAAAAAAACAGTTCCCAGTGGCACTGAAAGAATAAGTTATCACTTTAACCAGATGGTTGTAGTGTGGATTGGTTGCCTGGTTGAAGCAGAGAGTGGACTGAATGTTAAAGATATGAAAAAAGTTGCTATAATGCAAACCCTTTGGTAGAATCAATTTTGTTCACGTAGTTATTTTTATTGTTTGGTGTAGGAAACTGCAAAGACCCAGTTATTCCCAGGGCATGAAGCTATCTTTTACCTGAAATATTCTACATAAAAAGATGATTAAATGAGTCTTAAGTTGACGCGTCCTGTTACTTAAGTTGACGATCACGGCGCAGTGGAGCTTCCAATGGGAGTTAGTATCAAGTTTCATTTTACTTTAAGCAAAGTAAATAGCCATTACTCTTCCAAGTAGGGCAAGGGAACTAGACCAGCATAATTTGTGTGTAAGTGTATACTAAAGCATGTAACATATTATATTTACTCAAGGAGGGAGGGATAAAGGTTAAATAAGAAGAGATATTTCTTAAATTATGACACTCTTCATGGGTTTATTGCATTGATTGTAAACAGTGTTTGAGTATTAGGTTACACATATCACAAGTCAATAATTGAATGTGTCTGTTGGATGGTTAAAACTTATTACAATAATACCTGTCTTAGTCACTAGACACAAACATTTGAGAGCACGACTGCTTAGTCTTGTTCGACCAAGGCAGATTCTACAACAGGCTGGACCACTGGCTGGTTGTTTGGTAATGTGCAATTAAAAACACATTTTGTAGATCATATTACTTTTTTAGCGAATTTCCCATATAGGGAATAAGCTATTACCGTAGGTCTCATGGCAAGACCTATTTACTCTGAAACCGATTTACTTTTTTGTTTTGAGGTCCCCAGAGACCAAAAACACCATCCGTTCAAATTAACATATATATATATATATATATTTATATATGTGTCCGTTAGCGCGATAACTCGAGCAAAAATGATCCGATTTTGATGAAATTTGGTACAAACGTGTAAACCTACGTTTATTCAAACGAGTTCGCGAACCAGCATAATCGGACCATGGGAACAGGGGTTTATGGGGGTTTTATGGGGTAAAAATGGGGTTTTCCCATTTTTTACCCTAAAAACAAAAAATTTTGCAATTTCTTTTTTCTTTCTCAACCATTTTGTAGAGCCTAAAATAAGAAATAATTTAGCATATTGAAGCGCTGTTGTATGCCTAATGGTCACGGAGAAAATAAAGAAACCTTTAATTTAAAATTCCCATGTTATTCTTATGGAGAAAATGAAAACTGTTGTAGTTTACTTGTTTATGGATATATGTTGATACAATTTGGCAAATTTATTTATTTCATCCTATACTATAGACATATGGCCAAAAAACACTTTTTACCTTCCCCATAGCAGCAAACCTAAGCACTTGTTAAATCTAATGTTATTTAGATTGGGAATAAATATGTCTTATTTATGGAAATATTTTAGTAAAAATGTAATCAGACAAGATGGAATTCGCTTAGTCTGCAGGTTTGCTGCGGCGGGGGTATTTCATAGTTGCTTTGTAATCTACTCCTTAATTAAAATATAATGCATTTATTCAGAACACTTTAGTGACCGTAAACTACTGTGCTATGTTTTGAAGGTTTGCAAACCTAACATTTTTGATTTTAAAATGCAGTTCTACATAACACACATTATTGTGACACCATGTATGAATACTTTGGGTGTACATAAATATGTTTTCACCTATAATTTACAAATGTATACTTATTGATCGTGACTTAGGACGACATGGAGACAGGGTGGTGGGAGAAACTGAAAACTTCTTCCATAAATTTTCATCTACTCTGAATACATATATTAAGTGAGATTTAACGGCAATTTTTGAGATGACTATACAGAATAACAATTTAAGTTAAGTGATGGTGGGGAGGATGAGTGTTAACGACCATGCACATCTCGCTCGCCTCTCTAAATGATTCAATTTATACATGAGATACACCCTTACTATCACTTGGCGCAAAAGGGTGGTGCAAATCATATCTGCTTGTCTGTAAAAACTCCTCAATACATAGCAACTTGAGCAAGGGGGTTCTAGCACGTATGGTGTGTTTGTGTTCAGTTGAATGCTTGTTATTTTGATTTTAATAAACCAACTTTACAGTATACAGGGTGTTCAAAAAAGGTGGGGACATATTTTACCTAGTGATTCCTTGGGTCCAAATAAAGAGAAAATCAGGAATAACATTTTTTCCAAAAACGCTTCGTTAACCAGATATCCACCATTTTGTATTTTTTACATAAACATTTGTATCTTCTAAAAGTTTCAACCGATCTTTATGAAACTTGGTATGTAGGTGAAGGTAGAAGAGACCCGTGTTAGAAAAATATTTCATCTTGATTCAACCTAAAACTTCAAAATGGCAGCCATTTAAAGCTTTTAAGCTTAAATTACTCAAAAATTACTGATTTTATGAAAAAATGTCAAGAACACTTTTATTTAGCATTTATTACCTATCAAACGATACCAAGTTCAAGAAGATCAAATAAGAAATAGCTGAAATATTGCAATTTTCAATAGTAAAATAGGGCAAATATGACTAACTTCTGCCTTATTCTACCCCATTTTACAACTAAAAATTGTAATATTTCAGCTATTTCTTATTCGATCTTTTTGAACTTGGTATTGTTTGGTAGGTAATTAAAAATGCTAAATAAAAGTGTTCTTGACATTTTTTCATAAAACCTGCCACTTCTGAGTAATTCAAGTTTAAAAGTTTTAAATGGCCGCCATTTTGAAATTTTAGGTTGAATTGAGATGAAATATTTTTCTAACACGGGTCTCTTCTACCTTCACCTACATACCAAGTTTCATAAAGATCGGTTGAAACTTTTAGAAGATACAAATGTGTATTATGTAAAAAATACAAAATGGTGGATATCGGGTTAACAAAGCGATTTTGGAAAAAATGTTATTCCTGATTTTCTCTTTATTTTGACCCAAGGAATCACTAGGTAAAATATGTCCCCACCTTTTTTGAACACCCTGTATAATAGGGTGGGTTCTAGCCAGTGGAAGAGCCAGCCTTGGTCCAACTCTTTGAACAATTTTTTAAGGATAAAGGCACAATCTTGAATGGCTTGAATTTGGCAAGACTGTTCAATAACAAATCACAGGTATTGATAGTTAAAAGCACATACTGTAGTAGTGCACTAGTATTAATATCACAGAACCAGTTAGTTTTTAAAACCACCGTAACTTATCAACCTGTAAGGGGTTTTAAGTTTACTTTCACTTTTTCGTGGAAACTTAACATTCCAACAGAAGGAAGAAAACCGCCGAACGGAAGCATGACTCTTCTTACTCCAACCATTGTCCCGTTTTTAGTGAAGAAGACCTAGAACAATAAGTGTTTAGGTAATAACTGAAGCTGTAGGATGATAAAGGAGGGTAATTTTTATGAGGAAATGAGACTAGAAGTTCGGATCTAACAAAATTGTTTACAAGTCTACACTAAAAAATAATTAGTTAACTGCTTGAAAGTAGACACTCATTTCTCATAATTCCTTGTTGAATGCACAATCAAGACTAAATTAATTACAGTAAAGTCCCACATACTCAATACCTGATAAACTAGCAGTCCAGTTTTCTGAGCAAACTCGGAAACCATGTATATGTAAGTTCTTTAGATAACTATGTCGGATGTGATTTGCGACCCTTGTGGAAAACAACCTAAATTAGAAGCTTTGATATTTACAATACCTTTGCTTTTTCTTTTGGGGCCAAGCACTACTTTTAGACATATAGACCAGGACGCCTAGCACACATTTAAAGGCCGAAGTGCTTGTAAGTTGCTTAACCAGTCAGTCAACACAATACCCTTGTTTTTTTGGGGTAAAAAGTAAAAAGTTGGGTACGGTACAGTATTTTCCTCAATACATTTTCGGTTCGGTACAGACTATAACAATTAGTTACTTTCAATTCTCTGTGTTGGTTAGGAGCACATAAAAAGGTTTATCAGATGTTTGTTTAGGATTTTCATAATTTATTACTAGGGTTTTATTCCTGGGGTTTTATTCCTTTACGACTTCCATGATTTATTTAATTTAATGTTTAAAGAAAAAGGCAGAATAATAATACTGGAAAAGCAAAACAATAGAAGGGTGGGAGGGGTTGGACAATGACCTCGAAACGAGCTGGCCACAGCGAATTGTGATGGCGGGGGGGGGGGGGGAGGGTGCAACCTTGAAGCTATATTTAGACTAGAGGGCTGGGCTTACGCAATTGCACGGGCAGACGACTGTGTCTCGAACTGACCTTGAACAGTCGTCCCGCTGCGTCGTAACGCCGATTCTTATTCGGGTCGAAGTTCGAAGGATTCGAAAGTCGAATCTCGTTGACCGAATCTTGAATCCGAATATTTCCTAAAGATTCGATGGATTCGAGATTCGGATTCGACACATCACTAGTTTTCGCTGTTCTGTAAAATTATCGCAAACACACCTTCACCAATATCCACAATATTATTGCTTAAACAGTATATTTTACCTCAACAAAACCTGAACCTCCAGTTTCATCTTCTTCATCGTTACTTCTTAAATCATCAGCAGGAAATCTGCAGGATTTAGACTTTCTGAAACAAGGGCAAAATATGCTATGATTTTCATCATATTTGTTACCGGTATCTAAGCTATCTAGATCATGATTCATTGTTCACTGTAAGGAAACTTCAAGGGCTATTCCCAAGGCACCAAATTATCGTTTTGATGAAGTGTGCAAGTTAACTACCCTGAACTTCGTTTGACCTTGAAATTTTCTATCTAAAAGCACCGACGGTCTAAAAGCACAGAGAAGAGGATTCCTTGATGCATTGAAGCCAATTTTAATAACTCATTGTTCATGATCTTTCTTTATCAAAATGGTTTGTTAAGTCCTTAACAGATTCATCTAAAATTGTCTTTTCAAAATAATGAAATTGCTCACAAAGAAAATATTATTATAAAATTGCTTGAGTTTAATTTCATGTCACGTAAATTATTATGTTTAATAATCTTTTTGAAATTATTTAAGACACCACCTTTAACAAAATAAAAAAGATAGGGTAATACAAATCAGATTTATTTCCACAGTAAATATATCAAGAGTCATAATGGAATGTTACAAAAGAAATTCCAAAACTAATTTCAACATACCAAAAACTGTCTCGAGCTAAAGGAAAAAATACTTTAAAAGAGCTAAAGTCTCAACTCCAAAATGAAATCAATTGCAGGATTAGTATGGATGAAATGAGAAAGTTCACTACTTACTGGCTTAAAGGTACAGGGAAGGATATACCACATCCCATAGTGTCTCCTTTATGACATTTTGGCCCGAATTTTTCACCTACTCCACAACCAACAAAGACTTTTCCGTCGTCTGCATGGTAAGCAATTGAGCCTTTGTCCCAGCCTGGTAGTCTGTTCTTTGGGTAGCCCTGAAATCATTTTTACGTAGGTAGCTGTTATTTCATACAGTACTCATTTCATAAGCATAATCATTGTAATGTGTGTATATCATGATGGCAAGTTTGACCTAATGAATGTTGCTGTGGTCCGATCATCACGCCACCTCAACCAACCACATAACACACTGCTCAACCAATCACGTAACACACTGACGAAGACATGCTTTCCCAGCAAGTCCTTCCCCAGTCAGTTCATATTCAGTTTATACTAGGCCTATGTATGTTTGTTTAAACATAGAGAACACAAATAAAATTGCAATAAAATTTAAAAATCTGAATACATACATTTTTAGATCAATGTAACAAGGAAACAAATGGGCACTTAGAGTGTAAATGTAACTCACATTAACTAGCCACTGTATACAGGGTTACCAACTCAAGGAGGCCACCATTGGGATATCGAGAACGGTAAGAATTAGAGAAAGCAAAACTTTAAATGAGGTACATTCCTTTATTTTTTTTCCAGGAAACTGCCCCATTTTAAAAGATGAAAATAAGAACAAACAAACTAAAAGTCATGCTTAGTTTTAAGTTTTGACATCACGGAAAACAGGTATCTTGTTCACTACTAGCAGTGGCCGAGTTTTGAAGTTGCAGTGCTGTGGTTGCTGAGATGATGCATATAGACATTATGTAACCACGTCAAAACTAGGGCACGTCACAGTACTTTTGGCTTGGGATAAAACGTCTGTTATCTACCTTCTCTTGAGGATAGCAGCGGGTTTCGGTGTGGCAAGCCCTTAAAAGCTAAAAGCCATCAAATCAGGCTAAATGAGCCATAGTAATCATACACAGATTACGGTAAAATTAATTATGGTCTGAAATGGATCGTGACACAACGTTGGTTTTAATCGTATTGAACGTATTATATTCAAGCCAGTAAACATGGATAAACAAGAGCAAAAGATTAATCTGAGTGTGACTCAAGGGCTATATTTATTATTTTGTTTCACTAAAACAATGTTAAATAATAGTTGACTGCATAATTACCTTTTCGGTCAATCCAATAGCGATAAAACAGTTTTTCCCTGGATCAAGTATTTCAATTTCAAAATAGTGTGACGTAGTGTTTAGTGGCTGTCTTGCTTGGGCTAAACCAACATCCAGAATGCTTGCTCCTTGTCCACTATACTCCAGTATCTGTAGGAATAGTAAATCGTTAGTTTAGGTTTCAAAATTACTTGTTATTGGAAACTACAGGGTGTTATTAAAAGAATGCCGGGATTTTAAACGGTCGTTGCTCGGGGACTATTCAAGATAATTAAACGATTTAAACGTCAAATTGAAGGGGAAAGAACAAAGATCTTTCCTCATTCTTTGATACAATTTAGAATGATTTAATAAAATTCAGATTTTCATCAATCTTATATGAGCGTAAAACTGGCAAAGTCTGTACGCTTAGGGTGATTGGCGGGCTTATCTGATGTCTTAACTGAATCTTTTTAGGCACAAAGACACTATCTTTTACAGATAAAATCATAAATTTACCAATTTAGGTTTGTTCAACTGAAGACTTCGTCGGGCAACCGATTTTTTCGGGCTTCTGATGCAGAATTGTCGGATTTCTTCGACTATGTCATCGCGTTTTTAGCCGGCCAGGTGAATGTCTTTTCAAAACACTATGGTGCCACAAAACTCATTAAACCAGCTTCAAGTTTCTTTATCATCAAGTAGATTTAAACTTAGTTTAATTTAGCAATGGAGTTAAACTCTGCGAATCACAGATTACAATCTGTGCCTTCTGTTGTGCCGTAAACGTCGTACTGGCGACTGGCGTCATGCGTATGAGTCACAATAGCGGCCTACCACCACGTTTTGCGCATGCCAAGGTCAAAGTTTCCTCCCTTACAACAGTACACGGGAAACAAAAATTAGTTATTTAAGCTTCAATTTGACGTATAAAACTTTTAGTTACCTTGAATAGTCCCCAAGCAATTATCATTTAAAATCCCGGCATTTTTTTAAAAACACCCTGTAGGCCCTATTTTAAAACATAAATGCTTTTACAATGTATTAAATTATAACTTTGGTAACAGGGCTGTCGCTTGGGTTGGAGCGACTGGCGACAGGCAAAAAAGATGACAAAGACAAAGATTAGGCATGAGTGGTTTTACCATGAAGTACTTTTTAAACTGCTGTACAGGAATGTTGAGTAAAATGAAACATGTATTTACAAAACAAATACATATCCTACATGAATAACTAAATTTTTTGTTTTTTTCTTTTAAAAAAAGAGGGTTTCAGTCTCTTGTTAAGATCCAACCACTTAACATCGCTGTCGTGGCTTTGAAGTCTGCTAGGCTGCCAACTGAGCAACCGACTCACCATTCAAAAATAAATACATATTTCCAACAAACAACTTTATTTGATAATTACCTATTTAAGAAGATATTCCAAAATAAGTTTTTTCTCAATACTGAGCACTATTTGAGCTAATAGTGTAAACAATAATTAACTCCACAGTGTGATTGTAGGCTTCTATTCTTTCAGTGTTTACATTGTCTCTGTTTGGGCCCCTGGGCGTTCCGATGCACCCACACACTCACGGCTTTATACGGCGCATATACACTGACATATACCGTAGCAGCTCTTTTGCTGCTCACAGTAGGCAGGAGGACCAAAGTCCCAGGACAGCCCCAGTAGACTCATCAGTCACAAACGACTCATGCAATGGACTCGTGGTGAATCCCCATTTTAACCAGAGACCTGAAGGTCGTTTTAACTGACCGAACTCGAAATAAAAATGTCTGGCCTGTTGACTTATGATTATGTCAAACAGAAGCATTCGACTTCTGATATCACAGTAGTTCAAGTCCTTCTGGATTGGGAAAAATTAAGACTAAAGATGATTTTGTGACCCTATTAGTTCTTAAAATGGTCAAATCAGTTTTAAAAGCTGAGACTCAGCATATAGACAGTAGGCCTACATGAGATGCCATTTTACAGCAAGGACAAAACGTCTGGCAGTGAATTACATCTGACGATACAGTTTAAGCTGTAACATCGATGGATTCAAATGTTTTTTGTCGTAAAAACAGTCTGTATAGCCTACTTTTGAAAACGCTATGCTCATAAACTGTATCTATCATTTAAAAATAAAACCCGCATATTGAAAAATGCTCTGTAGAAGCTAGCTCTGCTAAAAAGCATTCCTTAGGAGCAAAGAGCTCAATAAGCTGCTTACCTGGCCACTTAGTGTTATATCGTGGAGACAGTACCAATCATCTTCTCCATAATCCACAAGCATCAAAGTTTCATCCCATCTTGTGACCCACTCAATGTCTTCACTAACCTCGACCTGGTTTTGTTCATCCTCTCTGTTCATGTCCAGCAGAGGAACACTAAATATGGTCTTTTGACCTAACATAGCTGAAAATAATAAATTTAAAATTTATTATTAAATTAACGACAGAAATAAAGTTTCAATATTAGCCTATTTTAACACAAACAGATGACACATTTTTTCAATGAGTACGCCTAAACAGAATCATAGCGTTGCATAGCATTCCGATGAGGTAGTAGGCTAAGTGATAAAAGTCAAATCTTAAAATGAAAACGGTACCTGTAGCATAATGAGCAAAAGTACCGGTAGTTATATGGGCAGTAAGAAATGGTTGCCCCTTATAGTTTTTTATTGAAATTCCTCCTTTTACAGTACCGTATTTCATAAGATACACTTAATCCAAAAACGCCAATATTGTCAGAAACAGCATGAGGTGTTGAAAAACCGAAAGCGAAGTTTGCAATTTGCAAATGAAAACACAAACTTATCAAGTTATCGATGTTAGATTGCCGATGTTTTTGCCTAAGTATTGAAATACCGGTATCGATGTTTTCTACGACTGAATTGTATTAGTTAGAGGTTATACAGTTTTGTTGCAGATGACAATAAAACTGAAAAAAACATCGATTGTCATCGATAAGTTATTTAGCCTCGAAAACATCAATGTTTTTGCGACGATGTTATTGGTACATCGATGGTTGACCTATTGATGCTCATCCCTTCTAGGGCCCTATCTAACCAGAATGGAGTAGATATTTTTTTGAGAGAAATGACACTGCAAGACTAGTAAGCTAACACCTTCTGCTAAGTTAGTTTAGCCTAACAGAAAAGGACTGCACAAGGGAATGTTTTTGGCTTTTGAGACTATGATTTGTAGAGATATAGGTAGGCTACCTGTGGCAGAACAAATAATATGGCTTACAGGAGCTATTTAGCATCACTGCATTTCTCAACTAGGCTATAACTTAATTGATTTTAATATTTTATGAGAAATCATGCAAATTGATTGGCGAAAACATTGGTGAAATAAGGTCTTCAATACTAGTTAAAGGTCGGTGCTTAAAAACAAAAATTTCATCAACAAATTTGAATTGATAAACTGAATCGTCAAAGGATTTAGACATTGATAATAGCTTACACTTACCTTTAAAGGGTCTATAATGTTAATTTCATCTTGTATGTGGATACTACAGGGATGTATTTTGTTAGTTGTTACACTTGAACGAAAATGACACACTTTTCTTCAATTCAAGAGAACTTGGTGAGCTGGAATAATTTATAAGAGCAAAGCAATTGTAAATTTTGTAAACTTGCAACGTCGATCACAACCAGAGATAGGACCTAGACCTACACAGAACAGAAATGTTGGCACTTAGCAGAAGGAAAACTACCCACTATTATTCAGTATTCAGTAGAATGTCATAAAACAAAAACATTGACAATAATGACAATACTCTCGTACTTTATGTTTATTATCATCACCAGTGCTGCCAACAAATTCTTTATGCGTGAAGAAGAATTCAATGTTTGGCTAATGCCAACTCATACGTCATAAAAAAATATCAAAGTCCATAGACCTCACCATTGATACTACAAGTCAATTATCAATCAATGATCTGTATCTTTGCGGATGACACGTCTTTAGCTCTGTCTGGCTCAATTTCCGAGGAATTAGAATTAAAATCGTTTATTGAAGAAAATAACATAAAAGCAGCAGTGGTTGAGTGGTTTGTTCCCAATTTATTAAATCTCAACCCCAACCCCAAACAAAACTGAATTGCTCAGGTTTTCAATCTAAGGCAATCCACACACACAACTATCACAGTCACCTTTAATGTGATTTAACTCCAGGCCGCGGCCTTCGAAGTTGCAATATCGCAATTAGGGTTGTAACAGCTGATTTGTTTGGATGCAGCTAATGGTGATTATTTGTGTATTTTTTAAAAACACGAATGCTTGGTTGGTGGGCTATGAAAATATTGACTACACTTTAAAAGTACAAAAATTGACTTTCTATTTAAATGTGATGTGCGAAAAGGGACCTCTTGTCGGCGATGAAAAATTGTCAGTACACCCGATATAAGTAATTAAGGTCAAAAATATTGACATTCGATTGTTTATCGATTGTTATACCTCATTTAGCATAGAACAGGACAGTATCGTTTGAAATGTCGAGTGGAAGATGTAAAAGGTCAAAATAAATCATTTGTTAACCTCTGCACGGTCTGAGAAAAGGTACCTCTTGTCGTTCAATGTTATTTTGCCATAACGACGAGAGGTCCCATTTCTAATATTCACTTTATAAACAGATTTTGGTCCAAAAAATTAATTGTCCCGCATTCAGTAGAAATTTAGAGAACTCCAACAAAGTTCAGTTAACGGAGGACAAAATATCTCACAAATTTTGCGGTCCCGACAAGAGGTACCTTTTCTTACCGTGTGGAGAAATAGCATTTTGGGTCGACAAGAAGTCCCTTTTCTGGAATGTGATTTTTACGACATGCTTCAATAAAACTATTATTTAAATGAACACTACCGTGAAAGAACAAAAAATTGTATCACAGTACCTCCAAAGAGGACATTATAAGCTTTCTTTTGATACCAAAATCGTTTCTTAAATACGAAAAAAAAACTGTTTTATGCATATTTTATTTCAAAGTCCTATAACTATAACAAAATACCCCCGCCGCAGCAAACCTGCAGACTAAGCGAATTTCAACTTGTCTGATTACATTGTTACTAAAATATTTCCGTAAATAAACATAAGTTATATATTTCCAATTTAAATAACATAAGATTTAACGAGTGCTTAGGTTTGCTGCTACGGGGAAGGTAAAAAGTGTTTTTTGACAATATTTCAATAGTATAGGATGAAATAAATAAATTTGCCAAATTTTATCAACATTATACCCATAAACAAGTAAATTACAACAGTTTTCATTTTCTCCATTAGAATATCATGGGAATTTTAAATTACATTTTTTTTTTTTCTCCGTGACCGTTTAGGCATACAACAGCGCTTCAATATACTAAATTATTTGTTTTTTAAGCTCTACAAAATGGTTTGGAAAGAAATTGCTAAATTTTAAGTTTTTTAGGGTCAAAAATGGGAAAAACCTATTTTTACCCCATAAAACCCCCCATAAACCCCTGTTCCCATGGTCCGATCATGCTGGTTCGCGAACTCGTTCGAATAAACGTAGGTTTACACGTTTGTCTTTTTTGCTCGAGTTATCGCGCTAACGGACACATATATAAATATATTATATATATATATATATGAATTTGAGCGGATGGTGTTTTTGGCCTCTGGTGACCTCAAAACGAAAAATTAAATCGGTCCCGGGTCTAGGTCTTACCATGAGACCTACGGTAATAGCTTATTCCCTATATGGAAAATTCGCAAATAAGAAAAAAAAACGTATATGCCTGGGACTTGCACCAAAGAGTGATTCGGAATTTCATAAGAAATATACAAAGCTCGAAATCGAATTTTCCCGAAAGAGGTCCCTATTAGCTTTCCACATCACAAATATTATTTTTGTTTTCAATTCTATATGTTTTATTTTCAATCTTTCAGTAAATTTATGTTCATAAATTTTAATTTTAATGAATAATATTCGTAATAATGAGCTGGTGTCACCAGTCTGCCATGTTATCTTAAGGGACGTCTGGCGCTAGACAACACCACTTTGCGACGTTGCCAATGCTACCAGGCCACGGCCTGTAGTTAGAGGTGGCCGTGCAATTATCCTTTTAGACAACGTGGAAATTGAGTCGACTCAAGGTGTCAAGGTCCTTGGTTTAATATTAGACCACCACCTTTGTTTTTATGACCATGTCGACAGTGTGTGTATGAGGGCTGGTTCTGGCATCTTTCTTTTAAAACAAATGTCAAAATTGTCTGATCATAACATCCTTGTCCTTATGACAGCCTATTATGGGGTCATTTTGGATAAAACATACTCCCTGAGGAGTATGTTTTATCTATGCTAGTGCCAGACACTACATAAGTGCACTATCGAATATTTCCTTTGTACCAACAGTAACTTCTCAGTAGCACAACCTACGTGAAAGACTTCTGTCGCAGCCTGAGATTTTGTTTCCTTTTTAATCATCGTTGAAACTATTTTTATGACGAAATATAACTTTAATTGAGGCAGGTCATAGCAAAACTGGCTAAGTGAAAATACCTAAATTTTTCAGGAAGCACAAAAAACATATATCTTTTGTTCTGTTAAAGTTATTGAGTTGTAATTTTTTTTGCAAGTACATTAAGTACTTAAATATCTTGGGAAACAAATACTTTTCAGCTGTTACTATTAACTAGCCAGTAAAAATACATTAAACATACCACTTAGCCAGTTTTGCTGTGACAGACTAAAAATAACCAGTTTTGCAACAACCATTGTTATAAAAAAACCAGTTTTGCTTCGGCAAACATTTTAAAATGGCATATAAGGATTATAAAATAAAAGCATAGGTTTGACATATAAAACCTTTTAATAACGTTCTTAACTCCCTAGATTAGCATGACGTGAAACAATTATTTTAAAAATCAAGACTAACTCTTCAAAAGTTGATGTGTACACAAACTGAATGTCACGTGATCATAAGCTGCGCTACCATTGGTCGGTAAGCAAATGACCAGGGGCCCATTTCATAATAAACTACAAGTTACAAGTTACAACTTGTAACTTGTAATTTCCATTAGATTTGCATTGGGCGATCAGCTGATTTACTAATAATATTAGTTTGTACTTTATTATGAAATGGGCCCCAGTTCTGCTACAAAAGTCGGGATGGAAATGGCGAGTTTTGCTGCAACAGCTAAACTTAAAAAACGAATTTTAAATAGGAAATAGCCAGTTTTGACATAAAGTGAGCACACAGTCTGGTGTATTGACTCCCATAGAATAATAAAACGTCGAAATCTCAATTTCGAAAAAAATGTCACTTAGCCAGTTTTGCTATGACCCGCCTCAATTACTATAATAGTAAACTTTGCTATTTTTCTGGTATCTTAGCCAGAGAGTTAAACAACAATCGTAAAATATAGGCCTACCCTTATAAAAGAGTTAACATTAAGTAGATTTTAGCACACTCAAGCCAAACCAACACGAAACACAAATACTCTTAAAACAGGGTTCTCATTTTAAATTATGATTAGAAGCCTTCTTATACCAGGCTATTTAAAGTAAATGTTGAAACTATGATATTTATTTTAAATCAATCTCTTTTTAATTTTAAGCAGCTGAGGTACGTAAAATGACTTTATATAGTACATTTCAATAACATGTTTATAATTGTGACGGTCTTGGGCTATTGCCCTTTTCCAATATTCCAATTCAAAATGGCAGGTAATGGTTAGGCAAGTAGAGGGAGGTTCTGTCGCTGTTTACGTCTCATTATGGTGTACTCGGTTTGTAAATGGTTAGTATGAATTGTTACTCAGTTTTACAAAACAAATGCAAGTGAAAAGTAAGCTGTGTAATAACCCAAAGTTATGCTTTGTGCATATTGTGTATTTTATGCCGTTTAAAGCCCCTGTGTATTGCCTTGGGACGACCTATTTTGGGAGCAATTAATTGTGTCCGAGGGTATGCAGGAATATTTTAACATGTAAAAAACGTTCGGGTAAGTTTTGCCTGTAGAATAGGTTAATGGTTGCTCAACTTATCAAGTATTTTGCGTATAAAAAAGAAATTATCGCATGTTAACTATTAGAGGGACAATGAGATATCATCAATAACCTCATACAAATGTCTCATGTCCACAAACAACTTGATCACAGACTGATGTTTATCGTTCTTTAGTCAAAGTAGCCTAGCCTATATCATGTTAACAAAGTATAACTTCAACTCATCAGAATTACTAGAAAGATCTAGGCCTACAAGTAGTTTTTAAGCAACAACATGTCAACAAAATGATCCAGACCTGATAGTGTAGGCCCAACTTGTTTATGACCTATGGTTTATTCAGGCAAATTTGATTTACTCTCACATGAAGTGATGGCATATGAATATCGACGTTTTCCGAACATCAATGTTTAAGTTATCGTTTCAAACATCGATGGATTAACACCAATTTTTGTGGAAGGGCCTATGATATTATATCGGACATTGATGTGTTTACCCAAAAACATCGATTTTTACCCTTTATAGTTTATCAGCGGTTATTTATGTAGTTAACTTTCCTATTCGGCAACCTGAACTAGAAATTTATTATATTAGGCCTAATATTTGTATTTTGAACGAAATTTTACATTAACATGTTATTATCTCGCTGATATGATATAACTTAGCTGAGCTTTCAAAGACTAAATAGGCCTAGTCTGAACAGGCCAACTAGCCATAGACACAGCAGACGACAGCTCGCTTCACTAGACACTACTCCA